GTTAAAATGTGTTTTCAGCGACACGGTAACGTTCGCAATGTTTACATTCCCACAATGCAATCGTGGAATGTCGCTTGACTACTCAACTTCCTCTGGATGTACTGATCTAAACTTACGTTGGTAGTAGAAATGCAACGTTCATATTGCCCCATATGGTTTATGTTAATAACAGATGTAATTAAAATAATTCAGAGAAGATATTTAATCCGAACGTAAACCGTCATCAAACTTTTATCATTTGTTTTTATCTGGTAACGTTCGTCTTAACGTAGGGGGCAGACACATCAATAGAACAGCGCGCCAGTTAGCCCTGTGCGAGGATTCTTAATTTAGGTCACCGACACCGTCGTTTGTTTTCTGCCTTAAATTAATCGTAATTATCCTTAGAAAGTATTAAATTTGGCATCTTAGAAAAGAAATACAGTTCGCCCTACCACCATGTATAGTGTAATAAAACACACTTTCGCCCTGAACTATTATAACGTTAAAGCACTCGGACGCAAGCGTCCTCGTGCTTTAACTATAATAGTTCAGGGCAAAAGTGTGTTTTATTACACTATACATGGTGGTAGAGCGAAGTGTATTTCTTAAACATGAATTTATGAATTTTGTTTTTCAAGACATATACATTCTATTTTTTGCTTCCCGATGTCCCGGGTTCGTAAGTTCATATTCAATATCATACAACCAAGTAAAGGTTGTACCTGATAATCTTGTGTTTTGATATCATCTCCAACGGACAAACTATCACCGTGTGGGATAATCAGTTTTTCCTGATTTCAGCCTCATTCATTTGTCTGGGAGGAGAAACTGCATTTTGCAGGAACGCCATTAGAATGTACACACTAGCGAAACAACAACCAAAATTCCATGTGATTACCAAATAAGTCAGATTATAAATCGGGTTCTCAAGTAAACGTAGCTGTAAATTCAAACGGAAGAGCACTCACCACAAATACTTACATCGTTCTGGTAATGCTCTTCCCAGCACAGCACACGGCACATATGGCACACATTTTTCATTGAACACATTGATAATACAGCAATATTCAGATCCGCATTATCCCAGATTTCGCCCGATTTACCATTATGAATGAGTGTGCCAGCTGTAACGAACAACACAGTGCCATGACTGTTTGAAAATACAGCGTTTTGGAATCAAATGAATTCAATACATGGCTGATCGATTCATAACTACAATGTTATGTAGGTGACTGTGATAACAAAGCCACCTCGTGCATAGCAACAGTTACTGACCTCAACTACAATGTTATGTAGGTGACTGTGATAACAAAGCCACCTCGTGCATAGCAACAGTTACTGTCCTCAACTACAATGTTATGTAGGTGACTGTGATAACAAAGCCACCTCGTGCATAGCAACAGTTACTGTCCTTAACTACAATGTTATGTAGGTGACTGTGATAACAAAGCCACCCCGTGCATAGCAACAGTTGCTGTCCTCAACTACAATGTTATGTAGGTGACTGTGATAACAAAGCCACCTCGTGCATAGCAACAGTTGCTGCCCTCAACTACAATGTTATGTAGGTGACTGTGATAACAAAGCCACCTCGTGCATAGCAACAGTTACTGCCCAACGCCTACATGCTACCTTTCCCGTGATCCTTGAAGATCCGGGTTAGAATTGGTCTTCAGTAACCAATGCTTGTCGTAAGAGGCGACTAACGCGGCTCGCTGACTTGGTTGACACATGTCAACTCAGACAATCTTTATTTCGTACTGAAGAGGCCACAGACCTATAGTACATATACATATATGGTGGGGAATTACACATAAATAAATATATACTCTTCAAAAAAAGAAACTTGACATGATGTTTTGGAGTTTACTTACTGAGAGCATATAACTGATTCAAACATGACATCATTGCTCAGTTACAGTAAAATCATTACTTTGCAAATTTCCAAAACGTGATTATCCAGAAAGTGTTTGGTAAAACCACAGAGGGCTGTTAAAGCCACTTGGTCAGAGTAAAATGAGTATCTGAGTCAGTTACTTGATATGTTTCAGATAGCTTTATGATGCTTAAAATTTTATATAAACTCTTCGAAAAAACAGACACGCACAGGCCTAAAATATGGAAATGTATTAAACGCATTTAAGGGTCGATCAAACTGGAACACAGATGAAGGAAATTCGACGCACTGATTAACATATGTATTGTTGTCATTGTCAGCATTAATTCAGTTCACTCACTGTACATGTGTGGACACAAGGGGGCGTTCAGGTCAGTACCTGGTGACACCACCTCTTGTAACCGTCACTGTTCGACACCGCCTTGGAAGTAAGTCGTCGGGTTTTTGCTTGGGGAATTCTTCGCCATTCCTCCTTCAACGCGTTGGCAAGTTCTGCAAGTATTCTACGATGGTCACCTTTTACAGACGCGTGGATCAATTTCGTCCCGTAGATGCTCGGTCGCGTTCAGATCAGGCGATTTGGAAGGCCAGTGAAAGCCATTGACGTTTGCATTTGCGAGATAGGCACCTGTTACACGAGCTGTGGGGTCGAGCGTTGTCGTGTTGAAACAGCTCCCTCTGGTGGTTCAAAAGTGGGAAGAGGTGCGGTCGCAGGATTTGGGCGATGTAGCGATTTGCTGTAAGATAACGATGCACCATCACTAGCTCTGATCTACCCGTGTTGGACATGGCTCCCCACACCATGACGCTATCTCCACCAAATCTGTCCACCTGTCGAACGCAGTTCGGCGCAAAACGTTCGTTTCGACGTCGATAGACACGTTGTCTCCCATCCCGTTGCTGCAAGAGGAACACGATTTATCACAGAACCAAACACTTCGCCAGTAACACAGGTTCCATGCCTGTACCCTGTTTCACCATTGGACGTATCAGGACAGGTCCATCGTTTGGTCGATATGCTCGAATTCCCACTTCTCTCACAAGATTTCTGATTGTTTGGTTGGAAATTCTTCGAAGGCCAGCACCTGTCCTGCAGTGTCCGTTGCTGTAGCAAATCGGTGACGAAGGCTCAGCTCAAAACGTTTTGTCAGATTTGTGGGCATATACTTTTACCAATATTTCTATGAAAGGGACATAACCTAATCAGAAATATCACTGCTTAAAGCAGAGCACTTTTAGCATTCAGACGATATCAAAAACATGTGTTGATATATCATTCAATATTGCTGATACCGGGTAAAAATCGAAATTGTTAAACATTTGCATATACTGTGGTAGGAAACCATCACAAACCATCATAGAACGTCTTTGGGTAGGATCGATCAATCAACAACCAAAGCAGATGCTTTGTCTACTGGACCATGCAGGCGGACTCAAATTCTCAAATTTAAGTAAGCTCTCGAGGCCATAGATGATCCAAAAACATTTTAAATAGTGACGTACGTTGCTCTAGTGAGTGAGTGAGTTTAGTTTTACGCAGCACTCAGCAATATTCCAGCTATATGGCGTCGGTCTTTACATAATTGAGTCTGGACCAGACAATCCAGTGATCAACAGCATGAGCATCCATCCACTTAAATGGGATACGATGACATGTGTCAACCAAATCAACTGCAATGTTACTCTTTTGAAGGCGTACTGAACTCATATTTCATACTTGATACCGTTAGTCTATATATGTAAAATCTCATAAACGTTAATTTCTTGAATGTAAGTACTGCGCGCGGTTAACTCTCGCAATATCTGCGACCATGCTTCTAACATCGACGAGGACGAGGACAGGATGGTAAACCTAGCAGCATATATTACCTCTGTATGTCCCCTATATTTTTGTCTGTTTGAAAAAGTACATATCCTTTACGGAAATATATTCATATGTTATTCAATTTCATTCTTATTTGATAAAACATTACTGACGCATGTAAACTGAAAGTATGGTCATTTGGTGGTCAGCTGAACGACCCTGCTTGTGAGTGTGTGTAACAAATACAGAATGACCAAATTGTAAAATGACCTGGAAAAAAATCTATTATAAAATGTCTTATTTGCCTGTTTGTGGTTAATTCATAACGCCTTAAACAATAATACAATTGTCAGTAAAAGGTTTATATTTTCACAAGTCCATGATTTATTTATTGCCAGCACTGGGTCATGGGTCAAAAGTAGTTCCTATGCTGTCTTGTCCTTGGCTTTCATTGGCTGAAGATGTGCAACATCTTGATTGGATGTTGAAGTTAGATGCTTTAGGAAAGTGTGAAGTTTGTTCACTTGCTGTCTTTCTCTCAAGCTGGTTAAAAGGTAATGACAGGAGGATTTTGAATTGGTGAATTACAGGTTAGTTACACAAAACAGATTGTACGTTTACTTTAATGGTTAGAATTAGGATTTCCATGCTTATTAAGACATACATAATTTTAGGTCCGTGGTTGGTTGCTTTGTTGCTGCACGTTGGTGCCTCACAACATGTAACTAGTTTGATGCATGTTGTCTCATAGATGATAAGGCACGCTGAGATATTTCATGGTTACTTTGAATATGCCATATTCATACCATAATTGCACTCCTAAGGATTTCAATATGTATATTCAGTGGCAATATTGCAATTGTTAATTATCCACACCAACGTGCAATGACATGAAATGAATTTAATGAAATAGATATTTTGTTTGAGAACTATATATACATATACATTATTTCAGATTTGTGAAAACATACGACAGTAAATAAAACCGCAGCCTCGACGGAGTTGTGAACACAGAGCCACCCCGTTACACGTGTTACAGTAAAAAACCATAAAACCTAATACGTTTAATTATGATTACATTTTCACAATATGGGACCTAGTCATAATTTCATAGACAGCAGATTATTTTCGGTGTTAAACGTAACATATCCAACCACGTTTAAATGACATGCCATGCTGACACGATATTACCATGAAAAGCGAACTGGATCTCATTATCTATACAAACGCATTAGAGTGGAATCTGATTGTGTTATAAAGATACGTACGTCTTAAATAACATTATAAAACGACCTATCAGTTTAACATAATGAGAATCGCCCAACTGACTGTGAATCTTCCTTCAGTGCTGGCACCGGTGAGCACGGCGCAGATCAACTGAGCACTGTCGTTTATAAGCAGAGCATAGCCAGTCCAACTGTTCAGTTCTGTTTTCAACAGATATAATGTCGACAGCAACATTTGGGACCGCGGATTACGCTGTCTTCGGGTTGATGCTTACTGCTTCAGTCAGTATCGGGATATATTATGCCATAATGGCCAGAAAGCGAGGCAGTACATCTGAATACTTCATCGCTGGTCAGTCCATGTCTTCTATCCCCGTGGCCTTGTCTCTGCTTGCGACATATGAATCCTCTGTGATGATGCTGGGGACACCTGCCGAGTCCTACGCCCATGGAATACAGTGGATACTCAGTGAATTGGGAAGCGAAACCGGGATGTTGATCAACATATTTTTGATTTTAGTGTTTTTAAGGAGACTCAACTTGTCGACTCCCTTTGAGGTAAAACAGATTATAATCAATAAAATATTTTAACTTCGTCGTTTATGTAATTTGCATATATTGGCAACTAACACTTTTGCATGACCCGATTATCTATTTTCCAGTATTATGAAAGGCGCTTCAAGTCCCGCCGACTTAGAGTACTTGCCAATCTTATTTCCTGCCTGAGTTTTGTAAGTACCATATTATATATGTCACGATAGAACTGATCGTTGAATACTTATTGGTTTCCATTCAGTTAATCTCTTTGTAGTTTGAGTATTGACAAAAATACCGAGACGGTATTAATTATTGGACTGTGAACATTTGAGGCCTCCACCAATAAAATACCCGATTCAAATTACCCATCATACTATAAATAGAGAGGCTGGGTTCTTTTGTCATTGATATACTGCCTCTTTTGATACAACGTTTTTTCCAGAGTTGCAAGACATATGAACTGATGAATGATACGTCTTTGTTATAGTCAGGAACAGAGAATCAATAATGTCATATTTGTTTGGCCATTGCTATCACTACACAATTGAAAATTTGTGACGTTGTTTTTACAGCTCCAGTACATCAGTATTGTGCTTTATGGTCAGGCCATCGCTCTACGAGCAAGTATGTGACCTCTTATTATTACTGTGAATACTGTCCATATAATATTATAAACGATACAACTAAAGTTTCTAAATTTCCTTTACTGTATTTCTTCAACAATATATACCTTTATTTGTACACAACGTGAACATGTTTTTTCGAACAATGCATACGTGTGTGATGGGGAAAAACATGTGCATGCATGCCTCTGTTGACGACATTTTAATGCTGGATAGTGTTTATTATTCAACTGATTCTGTGTGGTAAAGGCAGTTATCTCGATTTCGCCAGAAAACATGATGTTTTGTGTATTTCACGAATATGCTGATTTAGCTGTAAACTAGGATGTACACAACATATATTTTAATTTTATTTTCCATTTTCCAAAATTAGTCATATTGTACAAATGGAAAACTTATAAAAAACCCAGATATATACTATTTCACTATGACATAAAATACGTACATGCTTATCTTTTGATATAAGATTTCCTGAGGCAGTGTTTATTATTGCCAGTGACTGGGTTTTCTACGTATGGATCTATTGTGGCAACAGCCGCAGTGGCTGTCATCTATACAACCATAGTAAGTATAAACGTAAATTATGGGGAGCGTTTTTCGTTTCCATGAATAATTATTGCTTTTAATGGTATATTTTGTGGAGATTCGGAAAACGTGGTACATATTGTGCAGGCAAATTCGCGATCGTGAATAGTTTCAGAGATAACATTTTGGCATTATGTACAGTCCGTTTGATTTCATTTGAGACCGATGAATTGCTCACTAGCACAAAATCTAATAATTGCAACAAAACAAATTTTGCACAGTCACATGAAGTCGACAGACCAACTTTTTGTCTCATAATGTGACTATGCAAAATTTGGTTTTGTTGCAATTATTAGACTTTGTGTTAGTGAGCATTTCATAGGTCTCAAATGAGTGAGTGAGTAAGTGAGTGAGTGAGTCACTTCGGCAATATTTCAGCCACATCGTGACCAAATCAAGTTATAGTTTAATAATAATTAAAGGTAAATTATACAAATCTGTCAACGACGGACATTAAAACAACGAGAATATCACTGTTATAAATTAGAACTAGTAATTAAATCTTAAACATTTTAACTATAGAGGACAATACAATATAATAACAGGCTATATAGATTGCAAACAACTGAAGGTAGATCACCATACTAGGGACCAAGGGGCCTTACAGTACATTTGCTTCCTGCATGGACCCTAGCTGAATTTACACCATCCCTTCAATTTTAGCAATTTTTTGACAATCTAGCCCATATTAAAATAACACATATGCTGCGGTTAAAAATAGTAGTACGTTTAAATTTACTATACATGTAATTGTTTTGGGACTCAAATGAAATCAAACGGAACTTGCTCAGTCGTCACCAGAAACATATATCTCCCGTAATTATAGGGTCCTCATCCCTAATTGTCGGGTCAGCAAAAAATGGTAACAAAAAATATAAACTTTTTCAAATCAGGGCGGTTTAAAGGCCGTTATCTGGACGGATGTGTTACAATTCATCATCATGATCACCGGACTGCTGGCGGTATCAATAAAGGTATGTTGCTTTAAGCACTGATTGTTGCTTTGTGGAAGAGATAATACTTATTAGATTTTACGATTTCTTTTAGATTAGGATGTGATTTTACAAGTATTCTGTCACTTTAAACACTATGACCCGTTTCATGAATTATGTTTACAACCATAAAGTAAACATGCCATCTCCTTCAGTAAACCGACCATTGTTCACAAGCTTTAACATGACATACTTCATGACCATGTGACAGGAATACATATTCGTATGGGCAGGGAACTGTTGATGGTGGAGGGGTGTCAGAGGTCTGGCTTCGAGCTGCGGAAACAGGCAGACTGGACTTCAGGTGAGGGCATCGAGGTGGACCACATGAACTGATCCTTGTTCAAAGGATTCGCAGTTTTGACCGCGACTGTGAAATGTTGTTTTTGCCTTTGTCAGCAATATTGCAGTAACGTCATTGCGACCTAAGTATTCGCGTATACCAAAATGCATAGCTAAATCACCAGAGTTGTAAGGAAATACGCGTTTGACTGTACTTTTTTAAGGTATGGCATTATTGTTTGTGACGGCCGAAGACTGTATGAGCGATGAACTATGCGGCCATTGCATCCGTTGTAGCTATCCAAGTCAACTTAAACATGGTACTGGGATGATGGTTTGTCCCAGAATCCCAATTAGTCCGCAGAAGCCGACGTTACATCAGATAGTTTATTATCAGCAGCAAGTGTAACTTAACACTAGTCACAGAAAACGTTATTTTCTTCAGCATGGATCCTGATCCAACAGTGCGACACACAATATGGAACCTGTATTTTGGTCGAATCCTAACAGGCTTTGGGTTTCTGTTTAGTCCTTCTGTATTGCAAAGGATTTCCTCGACAAAATCTCTCAAAGAATGTAGGAGGTAAGTAAACGGGAATAAAAATATATCAAAATAGAACACCCAAACAAGGAAACGGATTCTATCCATTTGTGAGTGCATGCTATTAAACCGTTCACAAGTACCAACAGCATACAACTGCAGAAACAACGGCTGTGTATTTCTGTGTAAAAAGCCAAAAAGAATGCCTGCTTATTTCAGAGAAGTAATTTGTCTTCGGCAAAAAACGTTAAGTCCCGGCTTCCCCCTCTCCAACATGAATTCAGGACGCGACTTACATTAGCAGACAATTCATTACCATTTTTTCCATCGCAGAGCGCTTCTGCTTACGATTCCTGGATTTACGATCGTGATTGGCATGGCCTTAGCTGAAGGAATTGTTGCATATGGCTACTTCTATCACAAACGATGCGACCCTCTGGCGTCCAAACAAGTGGGAAGTCCAAATCAGGTACACAGGAAAATATGTACGAACACGGTTGTTAAATAGTCAGTCTGTAAATGTGGTACCTACGACACAATTTTGAATGCTGTCCTCGTTAATCATTTCACAGATAATCCCCTTCCTGATCCTAGAACTGTTCCGGAATCAGCCAGGATTGTCAGGACTGTTCTTGGCCGCATTGGCCAGTGCTTCTCTTAGGTAGGATATTGACTATTGATTGTCATTAAATATAGTGTTTGTTATTAGACGGTCACACGTCTGCATGAAACGTCTTCTTATGAAAACATGTCATTCTTTCCTCAGGTTTAGCCAAGATAAAGGTATGCAGATCTTCCTGTAGACAATGGTTAGGGAAAATATGATTATGGTAAGGGTTGTGAATGTACTATTGTTATAATGAGCTTTGTGTTCCAGCACCATCTCTTCTTGTCTCTCAGCCGTGGCCAGTATTATTTGGTATGACCTGATCAAACCATGGAGACCGAACACGTCAGAGTACAAAGGAGTCATTGTTGCAAAAATAACAGGTAGATCAAATGAAAGTAGGCTCAGGCTCATATGTGCCCTAATGTATCTGCAATCTGAATGCATTAAATAGAAGCGTCAATACTGTTACCAGAATCACAAAGCAATCATGATGATAAATAATGAGAGTAATGTGACAAGCCACGAGCTGCGTGAAGGGTGTAACATCTGTTTGATTAGATACTTTTCATCGTACTTACACACCATATTTAGTTTCCTCAAACAGGATTGTGATACGAGAGATGGACACATTTATTTACGCATTTTGTCAGGAGCCTTTTATGATTATATCATACTCAATGCGATTAATTGAACTAAGTAGTGTCATTCGTCATTAAATTATATTGGCATTGAAGCACAATAGAATATATCCAGATAATATGCAGGCACACAAATGAACAAATATGAAATAAGTTCTGTGTTTCGACTATTCATTCTTTTTCCCCAGTGGTGTTTATTGGTATTTTGGGCTGCCTTGCTGCGGTCCTTGTGTCACTGGCTGGAGCAAAAACTCTTAACCAGGTGTGTTGGAACAAGTGTCTTTTGTTTTGAGAATAATAAGAGTTAAAAACATTGGAACACAATTCTAAGGAGACATATATTATAAGACCGTAGATTGTTTTGAGTTGTAGTTGATTCAATGACATCATTGATTCCCACAGTTCATCATTTATCAGTATGGTATTTGTATTCACTGGATATGTTAATATCTTTCTATATATTTCTCTCTCAGCTGGTAAACGTGGTATTATGTCCACAATCGTGTGCTTTTCAAAAGTTGGGTGTGATTTTGGTACACAGCAGAATGATCTGTTCATGTGTTGTTGAACCGTCACAGTTTCTTCATTTTCACGCGATTTGCAGGTGAAAAGGTGATTTTCCGCAAATGGTGGGTCACGTGATCAGACAGGGATGCACGTCGTGCTTCTCTGTATGCATCAGGTATATTTGTCAAAGTCAGATTACTTGAAGCACAGTTTGGGTAAAAAAATGATGAATGAAAATAGGGTGATGCGTTCCCCAATGGATTTCAGTATATTTGCATAGTGCTGCCTTTAGCAACACTGTTACTACCCAATGCTGAAACATGAGCGTTTACAAACATATCATACAGCTGTAATACTGCTGAAACAAATATATGCTCATGATATGGTCACTATTGTTCAATCGACTCTGCTTTTAGCAGAGATTTCTTATGAATGTGGAAATGGTTTGTCGCTTCTATTCACGACGTTCCAGATAGTATATACCTTCAAGGCTGCCACTGACCCTCCGCTTGTGGCAATGTTCTTCTTAGGAGCTTTTTTCTCCTTTGTCAATACAAAGGTATGTTAAAGTTATATACTCGTAATATTGTGTCGATTGTTAGAATGATGTCTTAAATGTTCCCTGATGTGTCCTAAAAGTAAATCTGTAACATAATGCTGCATAATTTACAGAGTAATCCGACGACTCGTTTTAATGTAACATTAACGAATAAGATTGTACAGTATGCAAATACCTCTCAAAGCCTGTAACTGTACCTATGTAACTGGAACTCACTCTAAACTAAATTCTTAACAGGGAGCCATCACTGGACTTGTGACTGGTGTTGGGTTTATGCTGTGGCTGTGTGTTGGTTCCATGTTCTCAGACAGTGGGGCACCGTCTACCTACCTGCCTTTGGCACCGATTGACCAATGTCCAGGGTTCAATATGTCCTCAAACTCTTTCAACAACACAACAGAACTCACTAAGGTTGTATCCCGGACAGGCAGTAGCAGCCAGAACAACACAAGGTACTGTATGTGACCCTGTTCCTCACAGATTATGAAACTTGTCAAGAGCAATTATATTTCCAAGAAATACGACTTTCAATGACAGCTGGCTGGGACATCCATTTATCCATGAGGCATTTGAAACTAATCGTGACATACACATTAGCATTAATCAAACATTATCCACTTTTTTAACATAGGTAGGTAATTCCGCGAAATGAAATATTAACTATTACATTTTTACTCTGATTAAGGCGGAAACTAAATTGAAATTTGGTAAAGTATTTACTTGCAATCTCCGACGAATACATTAAAACAACATGACCATCAACCATCATAACGACGCCACCGATCTGAACCACCACTGACGACCACATCAGTACATGTAAACGCAATCAAGAGTCGAATTCCTGCAGGCAGGGAGATCTCTATCTCGAACTTGGCATCCCAGATAGTTCCAAAGATGTTCGACGGTGTTCGTATCGGGGCTGCTTGACGACTTGTGGACATGTTTTGATGGCGTTGTTCTGCCAAAGGGTGATGACGTCTCGGGAACGGAGAACAGTGAGGTCTAGCATTGTCGTCCATGAATATATGACGACTAGCAAGGCCAATTATTTAAAATATGTGGCACGAGGGCGGCATCCAATACTTCCAGTAACCTTGAGTGTCCCAGGTGCTGTCTTTCGTCACCTGTTTCCTTTTGCTTGTGGGTCTGAATCTCAGCTGAGATTGACAAAATCAAAGGAAAGGAATTTGAACTTAAACTTTAGGTATATCGATTGCGAATCGAGGTATCATAACACGAGGTAGAGCCTCTGTGCTGGGCAACAGCAGAATAGTCAACACCATTTTGATGTCTCATTCAAATATCTATGTTTAGCGTGATCAGTTGAGTGCAATATATCTAGGTAAATTCGGTATTATTCGGTATCAGGTTACAGTTTAGTTTAAACTGATCAAGAGCTCTATATATAATCAAGACCGTTGAATACGAACTAAGAACTCGGCTTCCATTCGTTTAGTTGTTTTCCATGGTTTACTCTTAGATGTGTGCGGTTAAGGTGTGGATAGATACGATCAGAACCAATGTCGTTTATGACAAGAAATTAAGAAACGGTGTAAGTGTTTGTTATGCGTATAACAAAGACTAAATTGATTTGAAAATATTTTAGTCATGGTTGCTTTATCGCAAGGATACTTGTTTGGACCATTTTGCTGTACATGAAGTTCCTATGTGCGTCTCAGTCCTTCAGTGTAATGGCATGTTTTAAGTGCTTTTGATTTCGCCATTAACCACTGGTATATTTCTAGATACAAGGATACCGCTCATGGGGCATTCAAGTAAATAACCAATCAACTAATTTCATAGATAGATTTACATGAGCTAATAATTTTCGTATATTTGCTAGCAATATTGAATTTCTCACTTGAAGGGCATTTAGAAGTGGAATGCATAAGAAAAGCAAGATTTATGGATGTCAACTTCCTTATAGTGAATAACACGACGTTTAGGAGTGTACGCTTGCTCCAACATCACAAACGTCGTGCTATTCACAATAAAGAAGTTGACATCCATAAATTTTACTTTTCTTCTCACTTTTAAATAATACGCAAGTTGTGCACAAAATTCATACATGCTGAAAATTTCATAGATTAATGTTGCATGTTCATCACAACAGGTCTGCCTTAGAAACAGTGTACAATCTCTCCTATACACTGTTCTATTCTTTTGGCCTGATACTCGTCCTTCTTGTTGGGATTTGCGCAAGCTGGATAACAGGTATGTTACTGCATTTTGAATGTAATATATACATTTGGATGGATGTTACCAATAAGACCGGCGACCTTTTTTAAAAATAGGATGGGTCCATCTTGTGATTTGGCATACCCCCGCGTATAAAATAATATCAAATGTTACAAATTACAAATATATTCGATTTGAATTCAAAACTTTGAAAGGTTGAAAACAACATCACTTGTCATCTATGTCATGATGTCGATTTAAACGTTTGTATGTAGTAACAGTTGTCCACACTGTAAACATCTGCAGGTGGAAACAAGACCCCTGTCGACCCCGAATGTTTGATCCACCTGGACGATATACACTGCTTGCCGGCCAGACTCCGACGCTATTTGGCGGGAAGGGGCACAGACAGGCAGAGCTTCACGTTGGTGGGTTTTGAGAGAATAATTATTTAACGTGAAATAGTTCGAACCAAAATAGTGTTTCTGTCAGTGTTCTAGCTAACTAACAAATACAGTGATTTGAATAAACAGTAATGTCCACTGAATGATTGTAAGACACAAATGAGGTAAATAGGTTTTTGATTCAAATTAGAATATGTCAATAAGAATAAGAATAATACAGTTTTTGAGGAAACTGTGCTCCTTTCTATTTTGTTTTTGTAGTCATCCTAATTTTCTCTGAGGAAGGTATCCGTCCATGAAATTACGTTACATTAGTTTGTCATACTTGAGATTACTTGTTGTTTACTGTTCGGTTTTTTCAGACACCATCAGCAAATGCTGGGCTTCGGGAACAACACGATGAGGGGCTGCCACCATCAGAGACGGAAACGATACAATTTCTTGATGGCAAATAGGACATCAATTTGAATGTTCTGTTGCTATTCAGTATGGTTTTTGCTTGATCTTTTTGTTGTAGAGTGATTGGATGTTTTAGCACGATACTTGTTGTAGAGTGATTGGATGTTATACTTCTTGTAGAGTGATTGGACGTTATACTTGTTGTAGAGTGATTGGACGTTTTAGCACGATACTTGTTGTAGAGTGATTGGACGTTATACTTGTTGTAGAGTGATTGGATGTTTTAGCACGATACTTGTTGTAGAGTGATTGGACGTTATACTTGTTGTAGAGTGATTGGATGTTTTAGCACGATACTTGTTGTAGAGTGATTGGACGTTATACTTGTTGTAGAGTGATTGGATGTTATAGTACGATATAAATATGGTGTCATAAATATTTCTAATCTATGATATATCACTGTCACTGGTATGATTACAATACGCGAACACCTGGCACCATCATAAACACTTGCTCGTGCGATCATCAATATTGTACAGTCTACTTTGCTCTTCGTAGTCCTTTCTTGTGGACGTGAAAGGGGTCTAAATGATTAATGTTCATACTGCCACTATTCAGTTTGTCAGTAATTTCAGTTTATTGGAAGTTCATTCCAGATGTTTTTGTGTACTTTTAATTCAATCTATTGTACTTTTTACTGTTTAATTTATTATGTACTATATAATGGTGAATGCAGATTTGGTCGCAGTTAAACGAAGCGTGGTTCGAATCTATATGACAAGGCGAGGGACTGACACAGGTGAGGCTGATCCGTAGATCCGTCAGCAATGACGTTGACGATGAATTGACACGCGACGTCATGCTACGAGTTTCCGCATTCATGCATTCCGGTGTCTCACATCTATCTTTGTTACATGGAGAAGTGTTTCCAAACCAAAATAAAATGGGTTGTTTTTCTTAAATATATATTTGGACGAGTGCTTGAAGTTGTAGATTAAGACGCTGACAGAGAACATTTGAGCTTCATTGGGGATTTGTTCTCCATAGATTTGCTTCACTAAAATTTTAATCGCATACTTTCCCAATGAACAGTTTTGATATAAGTTACTTTGTATGGTCAGCAAGGACATTCATGTCCTGAACATGTTTCAGTAACGTTAGTACATTTTCACGCAGTAGGGGATTTATCTTGAACTAGATATCGAAATCGAGGGCTTTAAGGTATATTTAAATAATAGAGATGTACTGGAAACGTTTCCGGTGGACTTAAGCATGATTTACAAGGAAATGTATGCTGATTATATGTTTGTTGCCCCCTCTGATGGTGATATAATAATATGGGCTAAACAAGGTAAGTCCTTATTTCAGGCAGACAAAGACCCGTTGTTGGATTTCAGTATATTCCTCCAGACCCTACAAAGTATACCAGTGTTGATCACTTTTACCAACTACATAATGATATTGATGAACTATATTCCCAAAATACCACAGTGATTCTGATGTGAGACTCTAACGCCAAATATTGCCACAGCAGACGACATCATGGATACTGACCCAGTAATAGGCCGCCATATTGGTTTTCAAACGTCTGACCCAGATATTGACTCAATGTCCAGTATTATGTTGAAGAATGGAATATCAAATATCCTAACTGAATTAAATCTAGCAGCTTCCCTTTAGAAGGTTACATCGATGTTCATACGGCATTAATGCAAGTGTTAATGTTAATGTCTTATATCACACTTTCACATCCTTGACGTAAAAACCCCATGCATAGGGATTCACCTCACCTTCAGTGCTTTAACTCGGCTCGCCAGGAAAATATATTCCGCTTGTCAGTGATATCCCAAACGCATCTTGTAAAGAAACACGTGTGTTAGCTGTATTATGTAAATGCAGCTTTACTGTTGCTTAGTTTATCAATATAGTTGCACATGGTATGTTAATCAGTGATCATTGTCAGTGCTGGTACGGGATATAATCCCTCACATTTCCTGTTTTTAGTTACAGTGGTTGTTGTTAGTGATCGTGTTATTCAATGTGAAGCAGTGTTCCAAGTGTAATACATTGTATATGTGTATAGTCAGTGAAGGGCAGTGGCTGGTGCTACATTTTGACTTGTGTTATATTAAACGGAGTTCTGGGAGGTACTACGGAATACTACCTCTCTATGGCCTTTTCTTACCTTGGGAGTTGAGGAATCTTCAGGATTATTCTTATGGTATATAAAAGGGGCTATCTTTTACTTCATATATAACATAACATCTCAAGTTACAAAAGAACCAGTAACCGTGTTTCGATAATTCTTACATTGGATACTCAGCCTATGTTGGAATCTTGGCCATTGTTGCAGTGTGGTGAATATTACCATGTCTCTCGCTTTGCTGCAATCAGTGCTTGTGCATTATTATGCCTTTGAATTGTACTTCACTGAATACCTTTGTAGTGATTTATAATAGTTTGTAGTGATTTATAGTTCTTTGAGAATTTAGTCACTTTTAGGATACAGTTGTTATTATATCACATTGCTTTGTTGTTTGTTGGTTTCACATCTAGTTCTTTACGGACTGATTAAATTTCAGTTTAAATTTGGGAATCACCACGTAACAAGTTACAGTTAGCTGCAAATAACCAACCCTGAACTTTCACATTTTATAAACTTCACTTACGTTTCAGTGAAACCCCCGGGAGCACAGCGATACTAACGACATTTGTATCTTTTCCTGTTTTCAAAAACATATTCCCTTGTTCAAATACAAATGTTCATATATAATTAGAGTGACATCCACAACACAATGACTTCAGCCTTCGAATATGTCTCAGAAAATCTATATTTGACATTGTATTAAAGGTCATTGAATGGCTAAATAGTAACTAGAACGCTGTTTCAAACGTTCTGCTTTTGGCTCTCACATACAGCATTTGCTGTGACAAAAACATCACAAAGCCATATTTACTCCTTTATTTCAATGTAAACTAGGGTAAGAGTTTTCTGCAGTATTTTATGAATCATGCTAAATTCAAATGCCACATGTTGTCTTCGTATAGCGCGTTTCTGTGCTCGAGATTGTATTTATGATATTATGCAATGTTGCAATGTATATGTCAGATTACATTACATGTGGCAATATGTTTTCAATACATAGAACAATCTGGAGTAAAACCAGTATCAGAAACAAATGAAAAATAAACCAAAAAATGACATCATAATCAATAATCCAGGAGTGCAATTATGCTCAGGGAAGCATTGCAAACTGGAGCATCGTTGTGCTGGAAACATAATTAGACAAATGTCTACTAATCAAAATAACTGTAGTGAAAACATATTGCGTGTCAGCATATATAGCTTTTCGAGTGTGTTTTCCACTGTTGTTCTAATAATAATGTCGCCATTTTCGCTCATACCACTAGACAACGTAATCTTTTGGCATGTGATGCTGGCTGCCGCAATATAGCACACCCTTGTCTCCGGCATGGTGTAACCTGAATATCTCATGGCTGGTCTGCCGTTGGTCATTTCTACGTGTGTCTCTTCTTTCAACAATTATATGAGCGACCATGACGTTGGGTAGACCAGTCCAAGGTGCTCTTTGAATGAGGAACCGGAACTGAAATATTTATCCATCTTTGCATATTTCTCGTTTCTGAATTTGTCACTTTTCTTCGAAATAAAAAGATCAAAATATTATACTGTTTTGTCGAACACGTCACAATTTAATTTCTGTCCAAAAAGTGACAAATCATTTGACAAAATTCAACATGCTATTGTCATGACTATATGCTAAGGATAAAAACATGAAAAATATAATTCGAAAACGCATTGTTAAGAATGTTTACTCATGCTCAAAACTCACGTATTGAAGGTTGTAAAGGAATGAAAGTGTTTCTATAGGTATAATGACACTTAAAACCCATTTTAACTTTATTCTTCTTAATTCATAGCGTTATTAGAAACCGTTTTGCTCATGGGCGAAAACGGTTTGGCCCATCCTCGAGAATATTTACTCTTGCTCCTATATTTTGGGCGTTGCAAATGTATGAAAGTGAGTATACATGTATCATGACACAAAGCCCAACCCAGATCAATGATTTGGAGAAATTCAGACGTTTTCAACCATATCACATGTTGGGTCTGAATAACACTGACCTATTCTTTGCATTCTGCCTCATTGATTTTTGGTACACACTAATTCTATGAGCTAAGCGCGTATATAACACTCACTATTGCATTCTTCTCAAACAACAGATGTGGAGAGGCAGGAAATGTGATTTTAAGTCACATCGGCAGTATTTCCGCTGAATCGAGGAAATAGCAAAGTGAGTGAGGGCATACAGGGCATGATTTAGATTAGGCAGTCCAATGTTTTATGATCAGGTTCTCCCATCTATGGCATTTTGTTCGGAGGGTACATGTTTAGGCAGTATGCCCAAACTTTTGACATAAGTAACACTGGAGTGTTTTTTTGTAATTTGTAATATCAAATTGAGTAAGTGATAATTATTATGGGTCACAATGTTTAAGGTTTTGAGTGTGGGTTGTGGCTCACATCTCGCATATCATACATGTTCAATGGCAATAGTATTTTTAGCGGCACGCCTTTTTGAAAGCACTTTAGAGTTGCCTCCCTTGGCAATCTTTTTTATTTACGGCTTTCATCATGCCGACTGTTCCTCATGATTCCATAACGTTCTGAGGGAATAATGCTGCTGCCTAGCTTTGCTAGGATGCTCGAGAACTGTGTTGTTGTGTTGTGACACACGGACTTCAACTACTGTCATTGTAAACAACCTCCAATTTGTATATCTTTCTCACCGTGAATGTCAAGACTCTGGTGAGTTAATATTTTATATTTGTGACCCAATATTTTAGATTTGTGACTCAATTGCATTGTACTGGAAATCTGTCTTGTCATTCATTGTAGCTTGGTCATTGTTTGTTCAATGTATTATTAAATATTTTAGACTTCTCTGTGTTCTATTTTGCTGGTCCAAAGGGGATTCTTAAACCTTTTGTCACCGCAATTTATTAACCGTAACAAAATGTGTATATGAAAACTTGCTTATAAGTGTAAATTTAATGCGTTCTGTTTATATGTTTAAACTTGGTCTCGTTGCTATATGGCTGAAATAATGCATATCCGAGGTTATGTTTTATTCACTCAAATAGTGGTCCAATGAAAGATTCTTATCACAGTGACTGTACTTGTTTATCGAGACCCCGCGACATTCTTTGGATATATGTCATGTTTGCATTCAAAAATGTGTGGTAGCAATTGTTAAAAAAGGAAACCACATGTCATATGTTTACTGAAAAAACCCCAATAAATGATATATTGGGCTTCATTCGCCTTTGACAACTTCTACACGTATGTACAATTTGAATGCAAGGCATTTACGAAAAAGGAAGGGTCTTACCTTTGGGCACCAAAGTTGTGCTCCCTTTCTTACTGATGGTGACAGAAATCTGGCAGTCTAAATAAGGTATTCTGGCTATGAAGTTAACTAAAGCCTTAGGTATAAATATAATTTCATATCCGTCAAATAGTCAGTTGAAGGCAAACCAAGTCCTATGGATAGTCAACTTCTTTATTGCAACGAGTGCGACGTTTCGGCATAGGTACTAAAACCGTTATCAAGCAAGTTGCTTGATACTTGCTTGATAAAGGTGTTAGTATCTACGCTGAAACGTCGCACTCATTGCAATAAAGGAGTTGACTATCCATAGAACTTGGTTTGCCTTCATCTTTACAACTTCTAAAATGCCTCTCAAAGAAAATAGTCGGATGTCTTCCGTGGATTCACCCACATGTACTACAAATACAGAGACGGTGAGATCGTCTATTCTGTTCATATTTTGATCTATGCGTAGACATTCACAGTGACGAAACCACCAAAAGACTGTATTGCACGAGCGATGACTTCAACTTTCCCTTCATGTCAAGATATATCCTAACAGAATCAAACTTTTCGACGTTTTATAACTTTTGATGTAAAATCGAGCATGCTCTTTCTGCCAAGATTTCATATGATTGTTATACGATTGTTGCTTAATTAATCAGAAGCTGATTGATTTAATGGCTCACGAAGGACATATCCAAATTTGACACATCCACGACGAAGACGATGTCCGATGAAATGAACTGTGACGCAAAAGTCAAAGTTCCAGTTAATCTGTGTTATCGTCATAATCTGTCTGATCGTGTTATTGTCTCTGAGACCAACTGCAGAAATAACAAGGAAACATGACGCTAGTTATCCGTGTGATAGTGTACGTGGACAACCTACCACCCTAACCTGTCCGCACAGATGGAAACCGAAAGGATGAATTGAGGATAATTAAGTTGTTCATGGTACAGCCAAGGCTATAATACTAAACTACGCACGCACGCACGCACGCACGCACACACACACACACCCGTTTGCAAGTTGTGTAAAGGCCCATGGCTTATGTTGACGTTCACGAAGATGTCTTTTGCGTTGATCATCGGTTTAGATTCCAACTTGAAGGTCCAAGCAAGTCATTGAAGTATGAATTACGAAGGGAAGTGACAGTGACATGAACTGTGTGCGGTGTATCAGTGTCATGCTGAAACAGTTCACCGTGTCCGCTGATAATCGTAAGGTTTGAAGAATTTGGTCGATGTACCGATTTGTCTATCCGCCTGTAGACTATGGCTCCCATCACACGTCTGTCACCGAATCAGGCGGCCTGCCCTTTAGACGTTGGTAGTGCAGAAGAAAGTGTGATTCATCACTGAACCAGACTCGAAGCCATACCTGCACACCGCATACGTTTTCGTCTCAACACATGGACATGCCATCACCTTCTGGTCTGAAACCCTCCTCAATCCAGGCACATGTCCGGCGGTATCGGAGGTTGTGGCATGTTGAACCGGATTTTAAAAACCCAACTTTGTAGGGGTGGTGACGCCTGGTTTACCACTTCTCGGACGATCTTTGGTTGAAATGAGACAGATATGCCAATCCAATAGCGAGATACGGTGCTCTGGTGTATGTTGAAATGATTGGGAAAAGCTTCAAGGCGTCCTGTAGCGATATTGCAATTGCCAACATCCAGTCTGGACCTCACCAACTTGGCGACTGTCTTTTTCCTCCACGGTACATTATAAAACCAGAGGTAAACTTTACCCTCAGCCAACTTAAACAATCTGGAACAAATGCTTTGTTATTCTAACTGGAACATTACCAAGTACGAACACTTTTTTTGAGATTCGTTGTCTTACCTTCAGGCACTTCAAAGTATCGCCTGGAATCACCCATCCGTCAATTTATAATTTTTACAACGATCTTGTAATTTTCTACCCATGACTCTTTTCGCGCAGTCTTTATAAAAACGCTGATATAGCTACAAGAGAATGAAAAGGTTACGCTCATGACCTTAACCAAACAACGAAGAGGTGACTCAAACAAATATATTGTATTTACATAGAAGGTTTATTGGAATGGCAAAATCAGCCTTCTCATCGTCCCTTCTTGTTCACTTCTTTGCATTGTTGGCCTTGGATTATCCTCAACCAGACCATCCACACCTACTCCACCAGTATTCATGTCACGCTCGTAAGGCTCGGTTTAATTCACATGCACTGAATATATTACATTAAATGGTATGCTATTGACATCTTACTCGTGGAAGCATATATTATTGTCGGATATATGTGCCCAATTGTTCAGACTCTAAAGAACCTTTCTCACACCACTTAAGATATCACAATATTGGGTTGATAATACATGTTAATCATTCAAAAAAGCAAAAGGAAATGCGTGATTTGAATGAGAAAATGTACGACACTAAGCAATTTGGGCGTAAATTCACAACCGTATTCTGATAAATAGTATTTCAAATCAAACGTGGCATGACTATTTAATGTACTTTCTGGTGAAGAATCAGCTGTACAAGCGCCCCACACTGGTGTTGGTTCTGATGAGGATAGTTCACATATTTTCTATCTTAGGTTTATATGGGATACGGCTAAAAGATTCATTTGTCGATAATATACAAGGACTCTTCGAAAGATTCATTGTTGTAGCATTTACAGAAAAATATATTAATGATAGTATAGATTATTTGTTTAAAGGCCTTTGTACTGCAGCAGAAGGAATGCAGATGGAGTCTCACACGTTTGGGAAATGGGACTACGCAGTGTTTGGCGTCATGGTTGCCGTTTCGGTGAGTATTGGCATATATCACGCCATAGTTGGCAGACACGGTAGGCTGGACGAATACCTTCTGGCTGGACGAAAACTGACTTTCTTCCCCGTCGCCTTGTCCATACTTGCTACCCTGACGTCGAACATTAAAATACTTGGAGCATCAGCGGAGGCGTACAACAATGGCATCATGTGGATTCTCAGTGAATTAGCGCTATCCGTGGGAAAACTTCTGGAGATGTACCTCCTTCTGGGCCTGTTGAAGAGACTAAACATATCAAGCCCATTTCAGGTGTTGTTTACTTTTGTATTCTCTTCTCCATGACAGGGCTTTGCTTATTGGGTTCTGCATTCATTCACTTGGCAAATGAGAAATTATCTTTCATCCTCAAATCACCATAAATTGGGCTGCACATATAACTCTTTAGTGTTAGTTGGGTCAAATGTATCTACTATTATTCTGAGAATAACCACAGAGCTACGAGAAATTGCAGTTTCTCGTGTCACTGTTCGAGAGTAAGCGAAGCAACCGTAGTCCCCAGTTTCTGGTTGGTTAATCTGTGTCTTCCGTATAAAAGAGATTCACAACAAACGTCTACGGAAATCCAATTCCCAACCACCGATACAATTTCTAGTGGCGGTACCTCAACCGGTTTTCACAACACGTTAATATCTGTAAAAGCGCTCACAAATACCATTTAAAATTGTGTATATTTGTAAACAGCTGTTAACCCCGATTGCGGAAGGTGACGAGTTATAGCCAACTGAATGAAGTCCTATCAGACTTAAATATTAATTTCAGGCATGAACGTGACTCCAAATCCGATACTGTATGATATACAATGTGTATGGAAAGAAATATTGCCGAAATATTGTTTCGAACACAGTTGGTGTAGAGGTTATTCTTGATTTTGAAACTTCTGTGAAAAGTCGTAAAATCGCACTGAACCACTAGTATTGTTCGTGTCCATTATCAACACTTTTACGTTAATTCGTTACACTTCAATGCAGTATTTGTAAGCGGTCTAGTCGTGCCTATATGCTGTTCTACAAACGGTTATAATTCAGAGAGCGACATCCAGAATTTCAGTGAATTAGAGTGTGGGAATAGCTTTGAAACAGGTTTATGAAGACACAAAGTACAATAAATGTTCACGGTTAGGCGAAACAATCAGTAAAAAGGGAACCGTTACCATAACATGGCCCTGCCAAAAAACAGAGGTCGCGAAGGAGTCCACCGATATAGGTCTTTGATCCAATACAAATACTACCCATTCATGATAATTTTGTTCACAAAATAACCTTTATGATATGAGATGTTTGTCAGTCAACCGAAACAAGTATCCGGGAATACATTTATCTATTCACGCTTTCAGAATATAATTTGCAGGCAGAATATTATGAATTCTGGTTCACTTCCCGCATTCTATTCACAGGTAGAATCTAAACGTATTTAATAAATATACGTCTTAAATATTGAACAGACGAGACTGACACTACATGATACTGAACTTTTTTACCTAATGTTTTCTCGTATTGTAAGTATAATATATTAGAACTGAAAACTTTCCAAAGCTTACAGATATGATTTTTGGTGGTTATATCTACATAATGCCCTTCGAATTATATGTGTCAGCTAAACAATCATCAATAATATTTATGTCACGTACCATGAACGAGGGTGAAATAAATTAACTGAGGATTGTCAGCTGATTACCAATTCTTCAATGGACTCGATGATGAACATTTTGACTGCATCTGTATCTTTTCATTGCCTTGTAATATGTATTTGTGAAAACAAAATCCCGTTTATTCACGTTATTCTTGTCTTTTCAGTATATCGAGGGTCGCTTCAAGTCTAGAGTTCTCAGTCTCATCCTGATGGGAGCGTCTTGTGTGGAGAATGTAAGACTCGTGTGGAAATTAAAAGTTCGATTTCCGCAGGCCAGAAACATGTAGTTTGGCTGTTTGACCCATGAAATTTTGGCTTTCTTTTGAAAAAGAGTTACAATTGCCCTTTTAAAACATGCTCTATGACGTCAAGGAATAACTAAATTGTCGGATTAGATTATTTTGATTACTTTGCAAATTCAAACTTTGTTTCATATTTAGAGCAAGTCCATACTTTGAAAAAGAAGTCTGTTTCATCCTACCTTTGAAACGAAGTCAGATGAAAGTTGGTGATTTGATTCGTCACTGATTCACGTTTCAAATAACCTATTTGTACTTGTTCTGTTGACAAATTCGCCGTGAAATTCTGCTACCATTCAAAGCACCAAATGCCTAGTGCTTTTGCCGTTTCAGCTGAATGAGAATTGCATCTAAACACAAGTTATTTCATGTATAAGTAACACTTGTCAGTTACTTAGTGATGAATATTCTTTGATTTGCATTGTGCAATGTATGTTAGTGTTGTGTCTTTCAAGATATGGTCTCTGATGAGGATAATTATTATTAACTGAAAAGCAATAGCCGTATACCATATGACTTGATTGATAAAACCTTTTACCTTATGATACATTCCTTGTACCGACTTTGTACTGAATTTACAAGGCCAGTAGACAACATACAACGTCTTGGACAAATGATGATTCTTTTGAATAGAGAACAATAATTTCATTTGAGTGAGAATTGCATTTTAATTCAATGCTAGACAAACTGCAGACCCTCTGTTCGGATATTTTGGCATCACTGGTTTCACTTGTTCTGAAAGATGAATCCGACTGTTTAGTAAATAAACATGGCAACTACATTTGCTTTATCGTAGATCCCCTGGGTGTTTTCTACGTTTGTCACATACCTATGCCTAAATACTGGCAGGCAACAATTCGGGGAAGTGTGACCAGGATGTATATCTTTATAAAGGATTACAAATCAAATTACTAATATATTTTAGGACAGTACACACATGATAAGGGGAACATTGTACTAACAATTGATGCAGATTTGGGGCTTCTGAGCAGATGCAGATAAATCCATGGAAACATACAGAACCCAATCCCATGCCCCAGATGCCCAAAGATTATGTAATAACTGATGTTATGATTCATTTGTCTAATATAGAAAAAAAATACTCAAAACGAACAGTGTAAAACAGTGGGGGAATAATTATTTACTTGTTCATTTTTTATGTTTATTCCTTAAAGGAATCTAATACCATGCTTTCAGATTATTCGTTTAAGTTCAGTTAGAGCAATTGACGAAAAGCATGGACAATGCTGTAAATGTTGATAATATCCTACTTGAATATACTCGGCGTCATTAATGAAGGGTCAAGCTATTGGTAACACTATTTCTTAAAAGTTGTAAAATCTTCGTTTTTGTTTGAAATATATACAACTGGATGCTTTACAAACTTTCTTAACAGTATGGAAAAAACACACCTGGCCGTTGAAATGTCATCATAACGTTCATTAACGTCCGATACATTCTGTTTCAAATGGCACATTATTTATTCAAATTGTCAATATGGAAATCCAATTGCCACTAAATGTAAATGATTTGCACGTGCAAGGCGCTCTATCCAGGGAAAGTGGAGGACAATACACATGCATTGATGCACTGTTCAGATACCTGTTTGAAATCGCAGCATAAAATGAGACGTTTTTTGACACTTGCTGAAAGGGGTCAGGCTATAGGCCTTTTGGAATCTTGTCAAACTCAGCGGCAGGTTGTTGTCCGCGTTAATGTGAGTCAGAGAGCTACTGGTAGACTGTGGCAGAGATTTCAGTCCAATGGAATATGCACGTCGACCAGGACACCCCAGAGTCACAACAGTCGGAGGTGATAGGCACATGAATAACACTGCGTTACGACACATATTACGTAACGCAGCAGAACTTCAGACAGAACACTTCAATGTCAACAATGTTAGGATATCCAGGAGCACCGTTCGTCGACGTTTAATGGCAGTCGGACTCTGCTGTAGGCGACCTGCCGTGCATCCACCACTGACACCACGTCACAGGCAGGCGCGGTTTGTCTTCCATGATGGTCGGCAGAGGATTTATCATCGCAATGGAGAGTGAATCACACATGCAACTGTGGCCACGCATAACCGATTTGGTGGGCAGGGATAACTCCTACTGGACGTACTCCACTGCACGTGGTCGACGTTAATCATACCGGACAGCGTTATTGGGACGAGATTCTGGCTCCTATAGCAGTACCTTTCTTGCAAGCTATACATGGCATTTATGGTCGACCCTCTTTACTGCAAGACGACAACGCTAGGCATCATATGGCCGGGATTGTCACGGAATTCCTTAGACATCAGAGTGGAGAGCGAATAAAGTGGCCAGCATGCTCGGCAGACTTCAACCCAATTGAGCATGCCTGGGATGAACTCGGACGACGTGTATCTACACGTCACCCAGCACCTGTGGATCTCCCAGGACTCCGCAGGGCTCTAGTAGAGGAATGAAATGCAATTCCGCAAAATGTCCTTATGAACTTGATAAGGAGCATGAGAGTTGTTGTGTTTGTATTTTAGTTTTACGCCGCTTTTATCAGTATTCCAGCAATGTCACGGCGTGGTCACCACAAATGGGCTTCACACATTGTACCCATGTGGGGATTCGAACACGTGTCTTCGGCGTGACGAGCGAACGCTTTAACCACTAGGCTACCCCGCCGCCCCAGGAGCATGAGAACAAGGTGCACCTGTGTCTTGGACGCTCGAGATGGGTACACAAGATATTGAATGACCGAATGCTTCATGTTTGTCATTTTTGGGGTTGGTCTAGTTTGCTAGTGCTGTTTGAACTTTTTGTCAGTATGTCACGATGTGTCACGTTTGCCAAGTCATTTAACATTATGATGACACTCTTAGTTGTATTATTTTTTTACATGTGCTGTAAATCATTTGCCCCTTTATTAATGACGCATAGTATTTATCAACTCAAACTGTAACTATCACGTTTCAATAAAGTTATAAAAATAACATTCAATAAACCTGACCCCGAATATAGAATATTATCCACTGGCTTGCTCACTCTCAGCAACAAATTTTATTCGATTTTCACTCACAATATCCAATTTGAAAACTAAAAACAAAATACGTATGACGAAGACAAATGCTGTGGACAGTTCCTTTAGGCCAGGACTGGATCGGACCTTTGATATATCATCAAGTGTCAGCACACATGTACACGTCCTATAAATGTCCATCCCCACTTATTGCCGATTCATTATCTGCACTTGTGGTCTCACCGTGATGATGCTCATAGGAAATATAATGTCTGAATTTGAAATTTGCTGGGAAAGACATTGAGTACAAAGAAATCAATAATGTTCATGTTTACAAGGCCATTTACGTACATAATACGAATTATGTCATAACCAAATCATGGCAACTGCATCGGGATATCAAGTTCCTCCACGCCATAATAGGATGTCGCATAATATGTACCGATTTAAGTAAGCAACTCTTTCAAAACAAATAATGTCTCTCAATGGGAAATGTCTTAACTTTACTCTTTAAAGCTAACCTTAAGATATAATAGTGACTTCCCATTTTGATAAATTTGGTATGACCTAAATTCCTTGCAAGAATGTTTGTGTTGAAGACAATTTGTGGTTTCTCTAACAGAAAGATGTACAGTAGCGTACTTTCTGCATACCAAAGTGAGCATTTTTCATTGTTTCATATTTTGATCTATGCACAGATTCAGCGTGACACAAATTCTCCACAAGACTGTATGACTTTCACATTATGACGACCGATATTTCAAGAGTTCCAGTCCTAAGTGTGTACATTTCAAAGATGTTGAAGTACAATCGAGCATGCTCTTTATGTCAAGATTTTAAAGAACACCATACGATTCTTGTTCAAATGTTCGATCAAGGTTACAACATTCAAGGCATCAGTAAACGTTCGAAATATTTTTGTAGTAGACATGTTGAGATTGTTTCCACATATAAAGATTAAGTGACAAAAGGCGTACAGATTCTGGGCAAAGACACAATACATAGGGCTTCCGAAGACGCTGGATCCCAGATTTTCGTCCTTTATGTCTCATTTTGTAGCTATAATTATTTGTCCCGAAAGGCATTTTGGTTTTACAGGGTAATTGTAAGTGAGCAATGCTGAATTTGTTCTGGAAGGAATCGACAGGCTCCCTTTCCTTTCATATTGTGTCAACACCCCGTCAGTGACAATATACACCTTGATTCGTGGTTTTTGCGTTACAAGACCCTGAGACATTAATAAGGTAATGTCACCCATCACTTCAAACCGTCTCCACTGACGTGATGTAATTTATCATATTTTGAAAACGTGGCCATCAGTGCTCTATGGTGTTCATGTGGAAGCCATTTCTGGCAAACAAAAATGCATTACCAGCAACATCTGTTAAGTCTGGCTGTGTTTAAGTAAAGACAAGAAATGACGACTTTCAAAACACTGTATACTTCCACCACTACGGTATTCCTTTTACAGAAGATGTAGGTGACCACTGCCGCAATAGTAACTGGCGATACTCATTGCTATCGAGGAGGGAAGTGCAGGCTTCACTAAATGTTTTTAGCAGAGATGTATTATGTTGAATGCCATTGCTGTAAGGTTGTGGTACGGGTTGAGATATGCCATTATATATTTTTTCTGTCTTTAAAGGAAATTGTACTTAGCGAAAACGTACATGTACACCGCTTTTATTATCGCCGTGTTTCGTCGCTTCACTCCCAAAATGCCCGACAGGCCATCACTTGATGCCCAGAGACATACAGTAAAACACAGGCCACATAGCGCCCAAATAGAACAGTCTGTGGTTTGAAATAGTTACGTTTTACTTACTCAACCTCTCCTATCTCAAGTTCTACGATCACAAGAACTCGCTAAGAGTCGTTACATATTTAGGAGATAAACATCATGTGTTGGCCAATTTCCGGGTGTTACTGAGTTTTGGAAGCACGTGAATTCATTTGGAACAGACGGCGTTACTCAATAACACCCGGAAATTGGCCAACACATGATGTTTATCGACAATGCAAACACAAAAGTAAACCAAAAGGTCGGCACCTGTTTTTTCTGTCTGCATTCATTGAAAAAAGTACCGATTATTTGTACGTATTAATATGCAGCCAATAGTCTCACAATTTCAGGGAATCGAATACCGTTCGATCATACTTTTCAACCCAATCAGATTGAAGAACACTGTCACTTTTGGTTTAAAATTAACTATACTGCTTATATTTCAGGTCTTTTACATGAGCATCATCTTGTTTGGGCAAGGAATAGCATTGCAGGCTGGTAAGGCAATTGAACGATGTTGTTTAGACATTGTACATAGAATGAACGAATTTATACACAGTGGAAACATTCTAGCATAAACGTCATACCTACACAGCGACTAACCCCACCAATCTCATAATACATAGAGAATCTCACCCGAGTGTCTTTTGATATCAAATATATCACCACGAGTTGATAAAGTTACAAATACCCGAGGCTTGCCGAGGATATTTTTACTTTTATCAACGAGTGGTTGTACAAAATCACTCTTCATTAGTTTTCATTGAAAAAAGTACATCTCTGAACACCGTTCTGCCATTAGACTTCCAGTGCAGCGGTGTCATAGCATTGTGACGTCATCAAGCTCATGACGTCATAGCATTGTCAGGGCATTGTACAAAATATACTGTCAAAACACACAAGCGATATCTCCTGTGGAACACAGTTTTGGATGATAAACATGAATCCAATACTGACCATAGCACAACCAGCTGGAGGCATTATTTACTCGCGTGTTGCGATTGAACATCTTATTCATATTTTCCAGTGACAGGGTTCTCTACCTTGGGGTCAATCTTAGCGACGTCAGCAGCAGTTGTTCTTTACACAACTATTGTAAGTTATTCTTGACCACACAATATGCAGCGTTATTATCTTGGATGTATTTGTAGCGATATGATTATTTCAAATACAAAATACTTGCTCCCGAAAATAATTTCATATTTGACTATGTCTATCGGAGGAACACTTCTAATGTCTTGGAACTTTGAAAAACTGTTTTCTCTCTAACAACATGAACATACATTGTCAGTGCGCTATCGGATTGGGTACAATTAATTTGTTTCCCAATACAGCTTCATGTTCATTTTGTCATCCGGTTTAACTCCAAATAAAAAAACTCAGTTTGCTACACCATTTTCAAACTAGTCACAGAACTAAGAAGTTAAAGGGGTACGTGTAATGTATATCTTGAGCAACGTCTACCCTGATCCTTATCATTATTGGTTTCTTTCCAGTGATATTGACAGTGGTGTGATATTGATGTATTCGTTAGTTTATATCCTTCGTACATCTACCCCTGGCAAATACCCAAACATGCCACAAGATATATTTCGATGATGAATAAGATACATTATCTGGTGAAACATGTATTTCTAGTGAAACCTGTGATTCAGTCATATGATCACATGATATGGTGCAAAGATGCTGAGGAAACAGTTGATAGGAAGGTCCTTTATCTGTTGATATAAGAAAATGCGCCTGGGATAATCAATTTCGGCGACAATATTTCAAAATGAGTATCTCACTGGAGGTTTAAAAAATGATCTTTACATCTCACTTATTGTTATCGATTAAAATATTGTTATTATGTTTTGATGAGTAAAGTATTCGCCATAGCTGAGTCGATTATTAATACAGGATACGATTTTAATGTCATTTATACTTGGACGTATGTTGTTGGCTGTGCTAAACGTTTCGGGTATATCAAAGAAATATATGTTTAGTGTTTTGTAAAACGTGTCTAAATTTCCTTTCTACTGATAAATGTCAGGTTCTAGGTTATTTACATTGTTATGTATTATAATTATATTATTGTGTCCCCAGGGTGGCCTGAAAGCGGTGATATGGACAGATGTTCTCCAGTACATCATTATGTTTGCTGGGGTACTAGCTGTTATAATAAAGGTGAGAAATATTTTACTTAATGTATTGAAATAACTTTCACATAGTTCTGGGATCATGTAATGTAGAACGTCACACAAAATGCAGACGTAGTCGTTCACAAAAGTCATTCACTGTCAGATGTATGTCAAGTAAATCTCTTTTGATGTTAAGGGTGGTGGAATAGCTAAGTGGTCATTGCGTATGCACGTGACACCGAAGGCCCGGGTTCGAATCTAATGTATGAACTATGAAGCTCGTTTCTAGTGTCCCCTTCTCGCTATGATGATTTGCTAGAATAATATTGCATAAAACATGCCGTTTAATGATAGTATGATGTTAATTTAAACAGGCAACCATTGAGGTAGGAGGAGTGCAGGAGATATGGAACAGGGTACTTTCAGGAGGAAGGCTTGTGTTCATGTGAGTGCTGGTGTTGTTAGAGGAAGAATAGACAATGGGTTGAACAGCTCCAATCTTTGCTGTTCACATTTTGGGGTACAATCACTCATGTTCATTCAATCAAGATTTTAAAGACATTCACCGACTGGAACATTTTGTGTACCATTTGTGTATTAGAGGCAAATCCTAACTTCATCTCTGGAAAACAGTCTGGCCTCCTGACGTTCATGGATCTTTGCAAGATGCCTGCTTTCAGGCGGGATGCGTATAACGGTTTTTCTAACTGAAGGTGTAGAAAATTGTCATCCTATTATTGTATCAAGTGTTCTATACCAGGCGAAATGTATTTAATGCTGTGAGATGATCTTGTAGGCCAAACACGTTTCGAAATAATTGTCCACTGACGAGATATTGCATATTTTGATTTCCAACCAGTTTGATTGATTTAATTAGCTCCATTATTTTACGTGTCGCTAATAATTAATATATCCAATTGAAAATATTAATACATACGCTATGCCATACACACACACGTGCGCATACATACAGAATATGCATAGATATTACAAAATATTGCTCCTGAATACATTGAATACTTTTGTTGGGTTGGGGAACATACAAATTCAGCAACATTAAAGCGTTCGACACACAAGCTGGTCGTGGAAATATTCAGATTTCTTTCAGTCATATTGTGTCTCTTTTTCGCTCAAAGGTAGTTCTCCGATATGCATCGTGGAGCAATCGATATTTATTAAAGGATCGTTTTTTTTGGGAATGATCTGATTGAGGTTTCGTGTAGAACGTTCCCTATGTATTTAGTAATTCATTTCACAATTTATTGTTCGTATTATTATCGGTCCCATCAAATAGAGGAAACTCATGACAGGCCTGCACCAGTTATTGCAACTGTTTATCCTGTTGAATCGAATCAGCCTGAGCTACCAGTGAACATGTAAAGTTTGATGATGTAGGTGGGAATTTTCGCCCTGGACGTTGATGTTGAAGAAGTTTGCTGTTCGAAACAGGAAAACGATGTTTGTCAGATTCATGAGTTTATCCATTTGTTTCTGGATGCATTGACCGTACTACTGAACTACCCATTATATTAATCATGGACAGGGACACAGTCATAACCTGAATTTCATGTGGTATTGTGATAGCGCTAATAGGTGAAAGACCACATGGCTCATGGTCATCATGCAATGTCCATTCATACTGCTTTTGCGTTTTACAGATTTGACCTTGACCCCACAATCCGACACACCGTGTGGAACTTGGGAGTTGCCAGGGTATTTGTTGGGATGGGTTTACTTTTCCAGCCCGCTTATCTACAGCGTATTGCCGCCACGAAGTCACTCACTGAAGCAAGGAGGTGTGTGCACATATTTTCAATTTCATTTGTTTCCATAATCATGCGTAGTAATTGCATTATACCTGGAACAGCTTGCCATTATAAGCCTTCGCTCATATCATACAAGGGTCCGGTACAGCTCATTCTTCATCCATTCAGATGATTTTCACTGTCCAATTTACATCCAATGGAATCCGATGAGTGAGTCTCTGCATACAAATATTGTCAGCACATGCTGAATAACATCATACGAACTCACAGCTTTAAGTACAATATCTATTAAGTTTCTTCCGATATTTTGATAAATGCTTCCGTTAAAATTAGAGTAATACATTCATACATACGTGAAACTCCGGGTTAGAACTGGTCTTCAACAGCCAAGGTTGTCATAAGAGGCGACTAGCAGGAGCGGGTGGTCATACATACGTGAAACTCCGGGTTAGATCTGGTCTTCAACAGCCCATGGTTGTCATAAGATGCGACTAGCAGGAGCGGGTGGTCATACATACGTGAAACTCCGGGTTAGATCTGGTCTTCAACAGCCCATGGTTGTCATAAGAGGCGACTAGCAGGAGCGGGTGGTCATACATACGTGAAACTCCGGGTTAGATCTGGTCTTTAACAGCCCATGGTTGTCATAAGAGGCGACTAGCAGGAGCGGGTGGTCATACATACGTGAAACTCCGGGTTAGATCTGGTCTTCAACAGCCCATGGTTGTCATAAGAGGTGACTAGCAGGAGCTGGTGGTCATACATACGTGAAACTCCGGGTTAGATCTGGTCTTCAACAGCCCATGGTTGTCATAAGAGGCGACTAGCAGGAGCGGGTGGTCAGACTCGTTGACACGGTTGACACATATGATCATATCCCAATTGGGTACGTCCTTGCTCATGACGTCACACGCTGGATTCCCTGGTTAAGTCTCGATTTTTTACATACATGTAGCTGCAATATTGCTGAGTATGGCTTTAAACAGCAAACACTTTTGCAGGAGTTTCATTTGACAATATTAGGCATAAATCTTTGACTGATGGACATGCAAGAAGGCAGCTCATGTTATCTAGCTTATCTGAATTATATCTTATTTTACGTTGAGTGACGTACCATAACAACTTAATATTCTCGTTAAAGAGCGGTGCTGGTAGGGCTATTCTGTAGTCCTATCTTTGGAATCCTTTGCGTCCTTATTGGTCTTGTGGCATATGGTTACTATGACTACAAGAGATGCGACCCTATATCGTCCAATCAAATCGACAATATTAATCAGGTACGATCATGATCTTTTATTTATTGTCTACACAAAAGTTATGCATCATACGGATTAAATACTAGTTACCATATCATCTGCTCAATTGGTTCTCACTATTTGGTATATTCATACAGGCGTTGTAAAATTTGTGAATCTGTACCCATATCCTGACTTTGCAGTGAAATAGAATAGCTTTTACAGTGAACCCGTTTTGTTCCTTTAAACATATACGTTACTGTTTAGATATTGTTTATAAGTACGTACGCTCTGTACGTATTGCGCATTGAAATTACAACGCTAGACATACATTCCTCTTGCCCCCCTTCTCTCACTCCCCCAGGTATTACCATTCTTGACACTTGACATATTTCGGAACCTGCCAGGAATGTCGGGACTATTTCTTGCATCACTCTACAGTGCGTCTCTCAGGTCAGTTTGATGATATGCCTTGAGACATGCCAATAACGAATTTTGGACAAATGAACATTAAGATGCCAATATGTTAATTTATATTAACAAGTAAGGCAAGATAACATAGCATGTATTCTGTATCGATCTATCAGACTGAGTGATATCTAAGGATAAACAGATTGCGCAAACACTAACTCTACAACCACAATCTATGAGTGAGTGAGTGAGTTAATATTTGACGAGAACATTTTACATCGAAATGGAATATGTGTATATTAGAAAACCTGTCATCGAAGAACAGTAAAACAACTAGAATATCACAATTAGATTTAAAACTAGTGTGGAAGGTTATAACTAATAGCACTATAAGGACAATACAAGATAAAAGGCTATAGATCACCAGCAAATGAAGGTAGTGCACCATACTAGGGACCAAGGGGCCTTACAGTACATTTGCTACCTGCATGGACCCTAGCTGGATTTACACCATCCCTTCAGCAGCTGGCGATTGTAGGAAAATTTAGCCGGAAGTTAAAAGAACAAAGATACTACGATTAAAATGTGGTAAGTTTTGGGACTTATGTACCCTCTTAGGGGGACAATATTTTTACAATACTTTAACCCCCTTCGAGTGTACAGCCACTAACAATCTAAGTTACTCATCTAAACTACCAATAATAAAATACATATCTATTTACAAACTATTCATCAAAATTTATCTAGCAATTCTATTTCTCTGTTAAAATTCAATGATTAAATGATAATTAACACTAAAAAGATCCTTCACTGTTTCTACATTAAAATATTTATCCCTTGTGATGGCAAAATCAAAACAGTCAAGCAAGACATGCTTGACCACAATCTATGAACTTAACATAAATTAAACATTTATATTTTTCAGCTCATTATCTTCAGGACTGTCAGCCTTCGCTAACATAACATGGGAAGAGTTTGTAAAACCCCGCGTGTCAACAATGTCGGAATTTAAACAAATTGCAGTCGCCAAAATTTCAGGTGTGACGGCAATACGAGTTATTGTTTCTGAATTTTATAGGTTACATTCAAGTACATAATATACTATATTATATTATCAGAGATGGTTCTTGGGTGACAACTTACCAAACATATTTTACCTTAAACAGTTTTTAATGATACTAAACGTTTTACATAATCAAAGCCAATCTATACTAAAACAGACTACATTGTAAGTATGTGTCAAGGAGTCTACTTCATGCTTCTCTTTTCAGTGGTGGCGTGGGGAATTCTCATTTGTTGCTTGGCGATATGTGTGGCATCCATCAAATCCATCCCCCTACTTCAGGTGATAACGGAGTAAATCCCAGTATTTGTCTTTGAACGTACTAAAGTAATAATATCTAAACTGTGTATCGAAAATTATTCCTTCAACTTTCTCTTCGGTGGCCTAGTGTTAAAGCTTTCGCTCGTCACAAGTCCCTTGTTCGATCCCTTACATGGGTACAACGTGGGAAGCCAATATATGGTGTAATATTGCTAAAAGCGGCGTAAACCTCTTTATTCTTCAGTGGCACTTCATCTCCACAACAGCAAGTAATGCTGGCTCAAAACCAGAAGCTAATTTATAATTAGTCATCTGCATATTTTCCCACTGAACATTTTGTGTTTGAAATAAGGCCAACTGCATGGAGAAACTTTGTTTCAGATTTACAGCGCCAATGCAGTCATAGCTGGTCCAATGGTCAGCCTTTTCTACCTCGGTGCCATGTTCCCATTTGTCAATACAAGAGTATGTATTGCCGATGTTCCATTCATCATGTAATTATTCCCGAGTGTTCCCAGATATAAATTGAACTCATCAATCATAATTTCTTTATGTTGAGAAATACTGGTTGAAAAGAAACATGTTTATATCAAATTTATTGAAGTATTTGATAGTATCCTGCTTGGACCTACTCCCACAGACCTTCAGTTTGCTGGATGTGTCAAGTTTACAAAATACAAGTGTTCAAATGTTCATTGTAAAACATCATGCTACTACAATCTTCCAAAAAGAGCTTTTTGAATTGTGAATAAGCAAAGGCTACAAAGGGTATGATTGCACAATTTTGTCTGATCCGTTTCTTTTAACGGTTTCTCTGAATTTCAACCAGACGCTTCTTATCGTCCAAACTGTATGCGCAATGGAGTTAATAATGCAAACATGGTAATACATGCTATCACAGTCAAGGTCATTGAAACATATATCTTACGTGTCCACCTCATCTTCTCAGAGCGCCATTTTTGCGCTCCTGGTTGGGGTCAGCTTCCTGACGTGGCTGGTGGTCGGCGCAAGTGTTTCCCCAGGGGTGAGGCAGACGCCCCCTCTTCCCCCTGCCCCGACAGATCACTGCCCGAGTGTCAACCTCACAACTGAAGTGCCCATCACAACACCAAACTCACCCGATGATGATCCACATCAATATACTGGGTTACACTGGCGACATTTTGTTTTGTATATCTTGTAAACAAACTATGTAGAATATAATGGTTAACCCAATTCCTCTTTTAAGTGTTTTCATATTATTTTATCGATTTACCTAAGTACGTTTGTTGTTCAAACAGTAGTGATGAATTATTATAAGTATTCCCTCTGAAAGTTAACACGTGTCCTAACAATTCCTTATTTCATGTTTGTTTTTTGCCAGTTATTTAGAATTACTTTCTATCAGGTCAGGTCTCGACGCCTTCTACAGCCTCTCTTACACGCTGTATTATGTGTTTGGGTTCCTCATCGTGCAGGTGGTGGGCGTTGCCCTCAGTCTAGCCACAGGTAAATGGCAGTACAACCAAATTTGATTTTATCGTCTTATCTTTCTGGCTGAATATGACTGTTGTCCCAGAGGGGTATGTTTTAGGTTATTTCCCTTCGTAAACAATATTCAGGTCAACATTCCATGTATGAAGGATACAAGTCCTAAGATCAGTATGTACACATTTTTGTACAGGTGGAAACAAGGATGGAGTTAACCCCATCTACGTGAGAAAGTTCTGTTGGAGGCGGGAACTGGAAGAAGAATATATGGTGGTCAGTATATCATGGACAAGAACACAAGGAAGATGTTTATTTGTGAAATGGACAGCAAATAATTTAACTTGATTAAACCCCTTCATTGTTTTTGAAGGATATGTTTTCCATCAACAACGATTTTGTGGAATATTACAATGAACTTGCATATGGTTTGTTTGTTCTTCAATGCCTCACTAACCATGATTTGAGCGGTCGGCGTGTAAACATTTGCGTCTTGAGTACCCGAACCGGTGGTTGATGCAATAACTAATGCTCTATTCGAGGGGAGTACCTTGACATGCGACCAACAAAGTCTGCTCGCCTGATCTATTAAGCCGTAATATTGGTTGCTCTGCACCAGATTTAGTTCAGAGTGAGTGAGTCTAGTTTTACGCCGCTTTTAGCAATATTCCAGCAATATCACGGCGGGGGACACCAGATATGGACTTCACACATTGTATCCATATTGGGAATCGAACCTGGGTCTTAGGCGTGGCGAGCAAATGCTTTAACTACTAGGCTACCCCACCGCCCCGAGTTAGTTCAGAATCAGCTTGGGATGATACTAGTATGTGTTTCATAGGTTGCCCATTTATTTCCAGTTTCACTGCTAACAACTGTTTATATGTGTAGCATGTACCCAATGAACTCACCCAATATCACGAATTAAAATTAAACCTCTGTTGGCTAACAGCTATAAATCTATGCTCAGTCATGGGCTTCTCTGTTTTTGTTTCAGACAGGAAGAAGGTTAACACACACATCAGATGCAACGATTGAAGGACGCAGTAGTTCAAGAGATGGACAACAAACAGAATCCTTCATCAGAAGTTGAGGTTAATCACTACAGAATAATTAGTGGCCGAAACATACACTATTTCAAAATGTATTATACGTGTGCATTTTAACAGGTATGCATGTTTCTCATTCTTACTATCAACTTGTATAGATTCCACAAGCATATGTAGTATCATGACACGACATTAAGTCTTTATTGACGAATCGTTTTTGAAGCATGATTGGTTTTGAAGCAAGCAATTTGAAAATTTGTCGAATGAATTTGTACACTATGTCTAGCGTTTAGAATCAATGTACATATAAAAAAAAATTAAGACAACAATAAAATTATGTTAAATTTCATCTGTATTTACCGACAAATCCTTTTTTTCAAAGGGGAATTATCTGCAGTGAAGTAACTTACACAATTCAATCAGCAAATAGTAAGAGTGTAATATTACCACTGAATGACACTGGTTCCACTGAAACCTAAGAAATCGTAAAGATCTGGGTCAGATGGTTGGGTCATGATGTCACTGGACTGCCTGGTCCAAACTGGATTATTTACAGACCACTGCCACATAACTGGAATATTGCTGGGTGCAGCGTTAAACAACAAACAAACAAACATGGTGGGACGAACCAGTGAAAAGGATCCGTGTCATCTTCGAGTGACTGACTAAAGAAACGTACTGTAATTTAGTCTTAATTTCAGGGAATGACTGGCCAGTAAACTGTCACAATTTCAAACCTGCGGTATCACCTTTCACTAATGTGATGGGCCAAAACGTAAAATTTGTTCGAGACAGCCGCTTGTCTGGTTCCGTTGTGAAACGAAAGCTAATTTTCTTCTTCTCCAAATACCAGTGTTTGAAAACCCTTTAAGACTGGCTGTAGTTGCGAGTGACATTGGAGCTGTGATGCTGCAAGAAGATGCTTCACGATTTGATGAACCTGTTATTTAGAATTCAAGATCTGATTTAGGCATCAAACATATTAAAGGCAAAGTAAATGTATTGCTGATGCATTGTCACGAGTTGGTTCGATGTTATCAGCGGTGTTACGATCAATCATTAACCACAGGCTACCGATATCTGTTTATTTCATACAGTAGTGGAAGAAGACACTCTGTAACAACAATAATTACACGTGGAACATTACATGAAATCAAATCTGATGAACATGCCTTCATAATGAATAAAGTACACAAATATGAATCTCTAAAATCTTATGCAGGTATTACACAATAATACATTATAAGACAGGTGACTTTACGCGTCATATGTTTACAGTGATGAACAAAGTTACTGCTGGCATAAAGACTTGTCATAACACGTGGCTTAATAATGAAACAGACTATATATACTATGACATAAACTTATACCATTCTGTTACCTTATGACCCTTAAACACAAAATGAACCAACCCTGTGACACAGAACTGTGCAGAAAACGCAAAAACAAGAGGCAGCCAGTCTGACAACGTATTGCAACTATAAATATATAAAAATGTCGTCGTATAAGATTAGGTAGATTAGATACATTTACACAATGTACACGCATTTACCCCCCTGCAACAAAATGGTGTCCACATGAATTACTTTTTGCAGAGATGAGTGTGTTACGAGCACTGACAGCGCACCGGTTCCAGTCAGTGTGCTCGTCTCGTCTAGTTTATATCCGTGGTTACTGACATGACATAATCTCCAGTTGCCATCCACTGTGGTCTTGTCTTAGAGAAAGGTGCTGATGGTACTGTTCTACGTGACTTTGGCACTGGCATATCCTGTCGCTGTAGAGATGAAGGGTCTTCCTTATTCCTTCACCATTTTCTTTCCCAACTAGGTAAACGCGCACAGATGTAATTAGCTTGTTAACCACAACCTAGACATCGTTTTCCCATTTGTCAGCGATGTTGTGGGGTCCTTCAAAGACTACAATCTTCACCACTACTCTGTCTCCGACGTCTGACGTCGGTCATAATTCTCCTTCTGCTTGTTCTGGGATGTTTTCGCCTTTCTTACAACCAGTTCCTATGCCTTAATGACTCTGTTTAACTGAGCATAGATCGTGGTTTTACTGGTTCTATGTCAAGACCAACGGCTAAATCTATGGAAAGTCTCGGGTGTCGTCCAAACAAAAGAAAATATGGAGACTGTTTCGTAGTCTCATGCCTTGTACAGTTATAGGCATGCACTAAGGGCGCTACTTGTCTTCTGGATCCAGTGTTTCCAGCATATTCAACAAAGTTCTGTTAAATCTTTCATACCCATTACCCTTTGTCAATTCTATACAAACTTTACTTTACAAAGCTCAGTCATCAGATCATCAAAGTTAGCACCTTTTTCAGAATGTATCCTCTTTGGCAAACTGTAGTGACTAACTAGCTGAGGTGTTCTTGCAAGGATACGCTTGGACGCATCCAGTACAGTGAACTGTAATTACTAGCATGTACTGCTGTCCTCCTTTTGATGATTCTAAGGTAAGTAGCCGCCATATAGCTGGAATATTGCGGAGTGCGGCGTAAAACTAAACACACTCTAAGGTAAGTAAATCCATTCATACCAACTTAAGTTTAGTAATGAGGCCCTGTCGGTAGTCACTTTCCTCTTGATACACCGTTCACAGGTCTGTAGATGCATGTCCATATCACGTGCAATGCCTGGCCCGATAAATGGTTCCTTCAGCAGTCTCTCCAAGCTACGAAGGGCTGGTGATCAACATCTACAAGGTAAGACTAGCTATTCGGGCTAAATGATCTTTTGACAGGTGATTTTGAATAAAACCCAATGCTTGATGGTTGATCTTTAGCAGTGATGTCATTTCCATGTCCCCAATGTAAAGTGTCCAGCGGGGTTTGTCCAACTTCAAGACTGTCCATATTTGTGGCAATAGCCGGGTCTCCACGTTGAGCGCAGCTCCATTCCTTGGCATTGTTGTCACGCTCATTTGACAATTTTTCATTATACAGTTTGGAGAAAATTCGTCCTTTAAAAGAAACCAGGGGCATATTCCTTGGGCAATTCATTGCAAATATTACATTACACTCTTTCTCTTTGCCGATTGCTATTTATAGCAGAGAAACTTTGCGTGAAGAATGGGACCTGTAAGTGACCTTTGTTTGTTAAATCAAACAATACTATTTTCATACATACTGCTTAGAAAAGTAAAGACTAAATATTGTATTCATTTTGATTGCTCGTGAGTTGTATGTACAAAATATTGAAATAGTTTTAACTCATGTGAGCATCAATTCCAAATTACTTTCAAGCATATTCATCATATCCTATACTTTTGTCAGACATGTATTTCTCAAAAAAGACCTAACGCTGCCTTATAAAAAAACATTGGCTGTTGGAAATTACAGAACATGGTGCGTGCATACCAGTTAACTACACCTGCAAAAAGTGAACATATTGTTATTTTAGTGTATTTGGTCTCCGGAGTGATTAAACTTAACTCCTGATGAAGGATTCTGTTTGTTGCCCATCTTCGTTCAGGATATCTGATGTGTGGGTAAACTTTCTTCAGTCTGCAACAAAAAGAGATGCATATGGTGGAGCCTACAATCACAGTTACGAGCCAACATTTCTGTCTACGATTATCTGAAGTTTATGTCAGATATTAAAGGGGCTTGTGTTTGTGTATGTGTGTGTGATATCTACTAAAATCCCACCTAAATAAACTGTAAAGTACTGATTACTACAAATATTATGCTAATGTTAATCATCTATGTTAATGACCTTCATTTCCCTGGCATGAAGGTCAATGCTTTGTAACAGGCCTTTGACCAAAGCCTGATGATGAAGCTTTGATAACAAAATCTTTGATCGTAAAACGTTTCCATGACATTTCATCACAAGGGATAAATATTTCAATGTCAAAACAATTAAGGCTAATAATTTAATAATTGTTTTTGTAAAGGAAATAGAATTATTGGATACATTTTGAACAATATATGGTGGTAATCCAACTAGGGCCAACGCAGGTAGCAAAAGCACTGTCAGTCCCCATGGTCCCTCATATGGTGATCTACCTTCAGTTGTTGGTGACCTAAAACCTCTTTTTATATTGTATTGTCATTGTAAATAAAATAGTTATAAACACCATCTGTGATACTCTAGTTTTAAATTATTTCACAGTCTTTCGATGACTGGCTATTTAACAGCTTATATGTATAGTGTATGCAAAACCCTTCTTGTCACTATAGGGCTGAAATATGGCCGAGATGACGTTAAGTTCTAACTCATTCACTCACCCAATTCCATGAAATTTGAATTCAGGGCGCTCCCTGATCATGATTTTGATTGGCTGGCCACAGATTCAGATAATACACTGATATGGTTTCTTAACGTAATACCCGAAGCAGTTATAACGTCCGTTTGCTTACAAAGAGAAATAAATCAACTAAGTGGGGACGGTGGATGGATTCAGGATGGAACCTGACCTGCAGTTTGTGACTCAGTTAACGTAAGTAGAAAAAAGTTTCAAAGCGAGTTTATGAATCTGGACCGAACCAACATCGTGTCAAGGGGATCATGTAAGCTTCTTGGCTACATATGATTCACAGCAGCCCACAAAACACCAACACACGTTTCTTATGAGCTGTGTACGTTCATTGTCATATTGAATCAGTAAGGGTCATGGGTGGAAACAGGGCCCTGAACCGCGACTTTAAAGGGTTTTATTCAGTTTGTGTTGTTGTATGTGTACTTTAGGGTATCTGCTAGCCATTTTACAAAACGATAATTCCATGATAAAGAACCTCCTTCTGTTCGGGTCCATGATACTGACCATCACATGCTCTTCTTCCTGTTGGCGCCTCCTGTAGAACTTTCTCACGTAGATAGGGTTAACTCCATCCTTGTTTCCACCTGAAGCATCAACGCCTGCAGAACAGTCTGTGTCAATACTGATGTGTGGAGTATTAAATTTAATTCAAGGTGAGGTGAGGTGAGGTGAAATTTGGTTTAACGTCGTGCTTGAGAATATTTCGCTCATATGACGACGTGCATGCGTGTGTATGTGTATGTGCGGCTGCTTGTACTAGCCCAAACTTAAGCTGGTTTTATAGTGCTGCCCACTGAGATACCATGCCGCAGTGAAGCATGAATACCCCACTCAGACACATTATACTGACTCCGAGCCGACCAGTCCTTGTTGTACCCATTAATACCGAGCGCCAGGCAGGGACCAACAAGTACCATATTTTAACGTCTTTTTTGGTATGACGCGGCCGGGGATCAAACCCGCGACCTTCCGCTCTCCGGGCGGACGCTCTAACCACTACACCACGGAGGGGGGTCAAATTTAATTCTATGACCGTATATAACATGATCATTATAGGACTAGAATCCTAGGTGAGAAAGGCTGACGATACGATAACATTTGGTTTTACTGTTATTTACCTGTGGCTAGACTGAGGGCAACCCCCCACCACCTGCACGAGGAGGAACCCAAACACATAATAAAGTGTGTAAGAGAGGCTGTAGAAAGAGTCAAGACCGGACCTAGTAGAAAGAAAAACTTCTAGACTAGCAGAAACAAACCCTTTGAACGAGGGGCGGTTATGGACTTATCACATAGAGTGTTAACATTCAAAGTGGGGACTTTCACTTCTTTTCCGCACAACAAATATATTTATTTTAAAACCTAATAACCATAGTTCATAGAAATATATAAATACATAAATTGATATAGTCTTTTGAAGCAAGTTAAAAGCCGTTCAAATATATGATTTGAATGGTTTAGAATCTGAAGTTTGTTTACACGTTTAAGACAGAAAATGTGTCCCAAGTGTTACCCAGTATATAGAAGTAGATCATCATGAGTTGAGTTTGGTGTTGTGATGGTGTGTTGCAGAGTGGGGTTGACTCTCGGGCAGTGATCTGTCGGGGCAGGAGGGAGAGGGGACGCCTGCCGCACCCCTGGAGAAACATTGGCACCGACCACCAGCCACGTCAGGAAGCTGACCCCAACCAGGAGCGCAAAAATGGCACTCTAAGGAGAGAGAGAGAGAGAGAGAGAGAGAGAGAGAGAGAGAGAGAGAGAGAGAGAGAGAGAGAGAGAGAGAGAGAGAGAGAGAGAGAGAGAGAGAGAGAGAGAGAGAGAGAGAGAGAGAGAGAGAGAGAGAGAGAGAGAGAGAGAGAGAGAGATTTGAGGCGATAATTACAGGTTACTGTGAAGAGGCATTCGTTTCTGATCAGAGAAACAGGTATGTGTCAGAACAAAGAATATTTGCACTACACACAAAAACATCTTAAGTGCGCGGTCCAGTACGTTTATAGAATCATTGTTACTGCAACCTTGACCCTCAACCAAACCATCACTGCCAACCCTTTACCAAACCTCTATTGTACGATATTGACAGCATATGCTGGTACAATGAAAATTGGTACACTTTGTATTTTCTACACGTTAAGAACCGAGTGTTAACGTCGTTGATACATCCGGCACAGTGTGGGAACAAATGTGGGTCCAAGCAGGACAAAATCAAATAGTTCAGTGAATTTATGTTGAGGCGAATGATGTTTACTGGTTGTATGGTTTGATTTACATGCCTAGTAAATAATGGATGTCTAATGTAACACACGTTGTTCTTGATTTGAGAAAATTTAATGGGAAACGAATTCATCAGCATGCTCTGTAAGATGTTATATTTGAACTTTTCACTTTTAACAATGGGGCGGTGGGGTAGCCTAGAGGTTAAAGACTTCGCTCGTCACGACGAAGACCTGGGGTCGATTTCCACATGGGTACAATGTGTGAAGCCCATGTTGCTGGAATATTGCTAAAAGCGGCGTATAAGCATTCTTACTCACTCAAATAACCACCTCTCAAAATAAAATTAACTTAGGAAAAATTTCCCTAAGTTTGCAGTATCTACAGTGTATACATACTCGTGTGTTGACAAATGGGAACAAGGCCCCCAGGTAGTACAGGCTGAACATGGGCCCTATTATGATTCCGGTGGCACTGTTATAAAGCTGAAACATAGTTTAAGCCAAAAACATAAAAAGGGAAACCTGTAGATGAGCAATTCAAATACAATTCAATGTGTTCAGACACATAGTGGACAGAAGCCCGTATCACATGACGTAAGGCCATGAACCTGGTCGAGAAAGGAGAATTATTGTTAACTGACAAATATTAATGCAAAATTACTTCTATACGTCAAGAAACATTCATAGTTATCACCTGGAGTAGGGGGGTGGATCTCAGTGATGACATACATATCGAAACACCACAGGTCACGATTCCCCACGCGACCACTGAAAAGAGAAGCACACCGAGGTGTGATCCATCTTTGTGGAAACAATTCCAGCACAAACACTTACTTTTTCTTTAGCCGCTAAAATAAACAGAAACATATTAATGTAATCCAAGTTTATCGAAATGTAAACGTGGGTGTCATAATATTTTAATAACACATTATTCCTTTATAAATAACTACGAATACATATTGACAGTTATTAGAAACTACGAAAGAGACTGTATTACAAACGGGATGGCTTTCAGCTCTCCATTATTATTATTATCATTATTATTTCCATATTTTTATTCCCAGAATTATGTTTACAGACTTTACCTCAGTAGTACAATGTAGGTAGCTTCATAGTACACAACTGTTTTCTTGATCACATTGTCAAAAATCATGCTGTTCACAGATATGTAAAATGGTCAAACTAAGCGTGCATATGAAGTATTACATGTTGTACAAGTCTGTTGATAAAAGTTTAATTATTGGCAAATAAAGTATGGAAGGAGGACCAGAAGCTGAAAAACTTGGCATAATTACAATTAGAAAAAGCTATCATTTCTGTTGCTTCATAACATTTAATGATTTATGCTTTAATATATCTAATACTCAGTTTGCTTTTTCTGCTTTTTCTGTAAATAACTTTAACCACCAAAATTACAGCATTCAATGGATTATTGTGAGCCCTCCATTATTTTGATAAAACAAACGCCATATCCAGGCTGAGATGTCTGTATATACTGTTGAGGTGCTGTCGGATAAACATATGAATAAAATGTCCGTCTGTCTGGTACTGTAACAGAAGCGACAAAACCCTTTCCACATTCATAAGAAATATCTGCTAAAAGCAGAGGCGATTGTACAATTGTGACTATATCATGAGCGTATATAACAACTGTAATCAAACTGATAATCGAAGTCTGAACCGAGTCTGAACATGACAATCCACTTGATTGTCACCATGCGATACAATGACAGAGCATGTGTTTATGAATCACAATGAAATAGTGATGCTACCAGGTGTTCGTGGAAAGGTGGGTGTATCCTGCCCCACCGGTGGCACCCGTCATAAACATATGCTAAGTCTAGTTAACTGTTCACCTGAAATAATTCGGGAACGTATCAGTCAGAATACTGAATTGCATCGGACATCAAATTTGGAAATGTTCACCACATGTCTACCATAAGACTTCTTGAAAGGTTTACTGAGTCCTTGAATGAATGTTGTAACTTCGATCAAACAACTTTTGATTTACGGTGCAACATGTGGTCATGTGTTTGCGTCCTCCCCGACGAACCGATATCTCAAACAATAACATTATAGATGGTATGTACTCTAATGCAATGCATCGTTTGTTTGTTTGATGGATAACGCCGCACTCAGTCTGTAAATAATCGAGTCAATCCAGTGATCAACAGCATGAACATCGATCTACGCAACTGGGATACGATGACATGTGTCAACCAAGTCAGCGAGTCTGACCACTCGATCCCATTAGTCGCCTCTGGGTTGCTGATGACCAATTCTAACCTGGAATTTCACAGGTCACTGCAATGTATTGAATTTCAAAAACAATCGTTCTCCTCTGTCATACCTGATAATTTGGCGACTGCAATTTGTTTAGACTCTAACATTTCAGGAAAACGCGGTCTTACAAATTCCTCCCATGTTATGTTCGCAAGGGCTGAGAGTCCTGATGATAATGAGCTGAAATATAAATAGTGAACTTCATCAATGCCAGGTTAAATGCACAGATATGTGGCTGTACACACTGCACATTCTTTTATCCATAGATATCAGGGGTAGGTGAACACAGCTTACACAATTCATTATCTTACCTTGCTTGTAAATACTTTCAAACAATATAGATAGACGTACTGGTTTCTCAATATCTGTGGTTAACTTGTGGTAAGCGATGATCATTGTGGTAAGATAGATTCACCATATGTACAATCCAATTTCATATACCTGTGTGAGACCGTGTACAAAAAACTAATAAATCTTCCAACTGATATGACGAAACTGACCTGAGAGACGCACTGTACAGCGCTGCAAGAAATAGTCCCGCCATTCCTGGCAGGTTCCGGAATATGTCTAGTGTCAAGAAAGGTAATATCTGGGGAAGAGAGTGAATTCAAATGAAGGAGGGTAAGGGCAAAGTATGTTACTCAGCGCTGTTTTCCAGTTTCATGTATATTTTAAGTTCTTGAAGTTCTTGTGTGATCACTGACAACAATTATCAATTCTAAACGGTAGATATGTAAATGGTCCTCAAAAGTCCACCTTCACCTGAAGAGCATCTAAGTATATCAACATTCATACCACTGCTCTCATCTGACTGACTGACTGACTGACTGAGTATGGTTTTACGCCGCTTTTAGCAATATTCCAGCAACATCACGGCTGGGGACACTAGAAATGGGCTTCACACAATGTACCCATGTGGGGATTCGAACCCGGGTCTTCGGCATGACGAGCCAACGCTTTAACCACTAGGCTACCCCACCGCCCCTCTCTCATCTGAATCTTAACAGAAACAATTGTAACACTCTTCAACAATTTGTAACGTTTCACAACATTTTATAAACGTATCTGCTTTACTCCATGTTAAACAAAGGAACATGTTACGACGCATTATGAATGACTCCAAATTCGATCCGTACCGAATCGTTGAACTACTGCAGCTGTACCCTTTACGTTTATCCAAAGGTACCCATTTACGATATATCACAAATAGTGATCGTACCTGATTAACATTGTCGATCTGATTGGAGGCTATAGGGTCGCATCTCTTGTAATCATAGTAACCATATGCCACAAGACCACTGATGATGCAAAGAGCTCCAAACATAGGGCCACAGATTAACCCAAACAGCATCGCTCTGTAACAGAAATATTTAATTGTTGCGGTACCTCATTCAGTTGAAAGAAGACATACAAATCAGCCATATCATCCTATATGATCATCATTTGAAACAGACTTCAAGCATAACATACACTGTAGTCAAAGAAGATGTGTGCACCACTGCACGTTTTCATGTTGTAATGTGACACTGTTGAAGCGTTGAAGAAACTTAAAAGTGTGTTTTTGCTCATCCTACATTATTTATTAATTATAGTAACAGCTGGTATATATAAAATGTCACCGCCAGAGAGCAATCAGTGTCGAATATCCACTGAATCAGATTTCGTAAGACGCAAAAGGGAAAATGGTCCTGAATATGATCTGTCTGGGTGGAAAATGAGCTGTTCTGAACCCTTGTGTGAAATTATCTTTAACCACCGAATCAACTTATGATGCATGAAAACAAAGGAAATATTGTTTTTGAAAATATGTGCAGATACCTCCTTGCTTCAGTGAGTGACTTCGTGGCGGCAATACGCTGTAGATAGGCGGGTTTGAACACTAACCCCAATCCAGTAAACACTCTCGCAACTCCCACGTTCCACACGGTGTGTCTGATGGTGGGGTCAGGGTCACATCTGAAAACACGAGCTAAGGGGGTCACCCATTTTGTTCTGGGGAGGTAGGGGGTCATCAATTTTGTACACATGAACATGAACAGTGATTTTTGTACATGAAATGCAGGGGGGTCACTTACTTTGTACATACGATTTAGGGGAGGGGGTGGGGTCATTCACATTGTTTATGTTACTCCATTAAAATGGCACCCATCTCAAATACATGTAAAGATAAAAACACGGGAACATACGCTATATGTTAAGATAAGGAATTGCATTGGCCATGTTTTGTAAATGAACGATATAGTGTATGTTGCAACTTTGTAATTAATACCTTCTGATAAATATTCGCACAACGCTCTATACATTGTGGTGGAAGTTCATGCCCGACCGTATCCCCAGAAATTGTGAAGGAATATTGCTCGACACAAAATCTTCCTTCATTACAACCAGTACTCACATGAACACAAGCCTTCCTCCTGAAAGTACCCTGTTCCATATCTCCTGCACTCCTCCTACCTCAATGTTCCCTGTTGCATTGAGTTCAAGTATTCATTACAATTCAACAACACATTTAGGTGACAATATCCCTGCGAAGCAACGGAGCATCCGAAATGGGGTTCATACTTCATAAATATTTGGGCATAAAAATGACACTAAGCTAGTCACAACCCTAAACAATATCAGAGGGGACTATTGGATATATAAGGGACTTAAAAATGTAGATTCTATAAATACTTGACGTTATTATATGTTACTTACTGCATAACGTGAAATTGTCAGCAATATTTCTCACCTTTATCATTACCGCAAGTATCCCAGCAAACATAATGATGTACTGGAGAACATCTGTCCATATCACCGCTTTCAGGCCACCCTGGGAACATAATAATATAATTATAATACATAACAATGTAAATAACCTGGAACCTGACATTTATCAGTAGAAAGGAAATTTAGACACGTTTTACAAAACACTAAACATATATTTCTTTGATACGCCCCAAAAAGTTTAGCACAGCCAACAACATACGTCCAAGTATACATGACATTAAAATAGTATCCTGTATTAATAATCAACTCAGCGATGGCGAATACTTTACTCATCAAAATGAGATACTCTTTAATATTTGTTTGTTTGTTGTTTAACGCTGCACCCTACTCTTCATGAAATACTAATGCTTAAATTGATTATCCAAAGCCTTGTTTGTTGTCATTGGCAATAGATATTGGACTTCGTATCAATCGTTTCCTCTGTATCCTGACCAGTGCATTGAACAATAGGATAGATTATTTGCCTGAGAAATATAGGGCTGTCTGTTGAATACCTTTCAGCAATTATGTAAGACATCTCATGCTAAGTTAGATCAGTGGCATATCGACGTATTATCGAAACTATGATCCTTTTGCAAAGAAATGTATCAATGTCACACAACTGTCATCATTTCTGTGACGAAATGAATAATACTGATGATGAGTGACACGATATAGTGGCTGGGCAAGTTATCTATGACATATATACCCTGGTCTTTTTTTTAATAATTCAAAAGCCGCTGTGATACAGCTTGACAAGTGCGGATTATAATTGAGATTCTAAAATATAGGAACATCTGTGAAGCAAACACGTTTTGAAGTAACACAAGAAGTTAATCAAGTCGAATTGCAAACCTAATAAGCAATCAATTATTCATTCAAACCAAGATTGGACCGGTCATTTGATATTCGGAGGACTATAACTCCCCTGAACAACCGAGGAAATTTGCATTGCTTGATTTATGACAATAATCAAAAATAACTTACAATAGCTGTGTAGAGAACAACTGCCACTGCCGTCGCTAAGATTGATCCCAATGTAGAGAACCCTGTCACTGGAAAATATCATGAAAGACGTAGTTTAATTTGGCTTCGCCAATTGCTGGGATCATAGCTTCCAGGCTACGTTTGCCTCTTGTCAAAGCGCAATTAAATGGGATCAGGCTCAATAATTCGGTTCTTGGAAATTCATTCAAATTTGTATTTCAAAAGATCACGGGATTGTCTGGTTGAGGCATGACTATTTACAGACAGCCGTCATGCAGCTGCTATATTGCTGAAAGAGGAATTAATGACAGACACACAGAGATATCAAGCTCAACTTCTAAGGTTGAGATGCCAGGTTTGCAGTAGGGGTTTGTATTGGGCCATAGTGTGCATGTGTGTTTGTGCGTGCGCGCGCATACGTTTTCTTACTGTTGTCTTCCTATGGCAAAGACTTCTTGTGAGGCTTTACGTGTGAAAGTATATTACAAGGAGGAAGTAATACAGTTGGTATAGTCCAACACGGTTTTAGTCGAAGCACTACGCTTAATGTCGGGAAAAGGAATAATATCATAGATCCCTGCATAAACTTGTACAAACAGGACCAACCGTCGACGCCACTGAAATAATATTATATAACATGGTATAAGTGTGTTTTTGTGGTATCGATTGTTTTGAGCTAGGGGCAGTATTGGGTGTGAAGTACATGTATTATGAGATATATGTATTTGGTGTAGTTAGTGGTACTACAGGTGTGATGTTAAGAATAGAGTGTTTCAATGTTTCAATATAAACGATGTCAGAATCAGTTGTGGTGGTCAGTTGTCTTACCAGCCTGCAGTGCTATTGCATGTCCAAACAAGATGATGCTCATGTAAAAGACCTGAAATGTAAGGTTAAATGTGTAAGGCGAAGAAAAACAACGACTTGAGGGAGTTTTTTCAAGTCATACATGTGGCTGTCCCATATCTGTCTCTTTGGCAGTGAAGTTTAAATAGAAGCGACAAAATCCTTTCCACATTCATAAGAAATCTCTGCCAAAATAATCATGAAAAGATATTTGTGTCAGCAGTATTACAGCTGTATGATGTTGTTTGTAAACAAATCGGGTCTGAACCAGACAATCCAGTGATAGTCACTATGCGATACGATGACAGAGCATGCATGTGATTATGAATCACTATGAAATAGTGATGATACCAGGTGTTTGCTAAAAGGTGGGCGTATCCTGCCCCACCGGTGGCACCCGTCATAAACATATGCTAAGTTTAGTAATTTAGTTATTCACCTGAAATAATTCGGCAAAGTATGGTAAAATAGGGAACTGCATCGGACATGTTTGTCACTGATGCATCAGATTTGAAAATCTCCTCCACATGTCTACCATATTTTTTGTGTGAAAGTTTTACTGTGGCCTTGCAAGAGCAAGAGTGACATGGCGCTCTTTGAAATCTTGATGAAAAGAGCACGCTCGATTTTACCTCAAAAGTTGTGAAATGTAAACACAAAAGGCTGGAGCTGTTGGTATATTGCTCGACATGAAAGGGAAGTTGACTATTGGAAAGTTGAAATCATCCCTTTTGTCATACAGCCTAGTGGAGAATTTTTTGTCACTCTGAATCTTTATGCATAGATCTAAATGAAACAGTTGGGGCGGTCTCACTTGTCTCCTTAATTTTACTGACTGAGTTTGGTTTTACGCCGCTTTTAGCAATATTCCAGCAACATCACGGCGGGGGATACCAGAAATGGGCTTCACACATTGTACCCATGTGGGGATTCGAACCCGGGTCTTCGGCGTGACGAGCCAATGCTTTAACCATTAGGCTACCCCACCGCCCTCCTTAATTTTAAGTTCTGGTGGGTAAATCAGAGGAAGGCAATTGGCGATTTGATGGATATTGAACGATATTAAATCATCGATGTATCGGAAGCTTAATTTAAACTTCTTGGCCGAATTACCTTGTTTAGATTTTGCCAACCCAAGTGAGTGAGTTTAGTTTTACGCCGCACTCTGCAATATTCCAGCTATATGGCGGCGGTCCTGCCAACCCAAGCAGAAATTCTGATTCATATACATAAAGAAACAGATCCGCCAGGAGTGGAGCACAATTGGTGCCCATGGGGATGCCTTCTTCCTTGCGAAATGTTTTACCCCCAAATTTCATGTGGGATAGTTATATACAACGTTGAAAAATCAAATGTTTTGACAGAAGGGATCTCGGTCCGTTTCTGAGATTGTATACATATGATCAAATCTTTTTGAGAATCCACATGGTGTTAATTCCGCTTGTCTCAAATACTTTCTGTGAATATCTAGAAAGTCCTTCCCTGGTAGTATTAAGGGTTATGGTTAATCTATAAGACAGGGATTTCTTGGTACAGTTTCTAAATCGATTTCACTGAGAGGTCGAACGTTTTATGTCCACATGAATCTTACATTTTCGAAGCAAGACGCTCCCGTCATGATGAGACTAAGTACTCTGGACTTGAAGCGTCCCTCGATATACTGAAAATAATAGGATTCCCTTATTACAAATCTACATCCAAAAAGGTAATGAAAAGATTAATAATATATAAATATCTGTTTTCGACTGACATCAAAATCAACCATGAAGCGCATACCATGATCATGGAAGGGTAATTTAGTGGTGTTACATCGAAGCATATTACATGGACACTGTTAACCATATGTCATGCCTTTAACTATTACAAATGATAAAACATTGTTTTAGTCCTCTTATATGACATCAAGGGTACAATAAAACATTCCGTTTGGATTTATTGAGAATTTAAGGAAGTATTTCCATTAGATTCCATCTTAGAATCTACATATGAATGGAATGGGGAAGAGTCAAATTTATATAATTATATAATATCGCGATCAAAGATTATCCCTTTTTGTGCTCGTGTTGATGACAATAAGAGTGAAATTCAGTACTAAGTGAGTGAGCGAGTGTGGTTTTACACTACTTTTACCAGTATTCTAGTAATATCACGGCGGGAAACACCAGACATGGACTTCACACATTGTACCCATATGGGGAATCGAACCCGGACGCTATAACCACTAGGCTACCCCATTCAGTAATGAGAACCATACAGTCCTATGTGTCATGAAAAGGTCGTGTGATTTCTCTACTGTTACCCCAAGGTAATCGTTTTGAATTACTGCATGTGTACAGCAAACGTAATTGTAGAAAGGATAGAGAATACCCAGCCAAAAACTCGGTCATTACATCAATTTACATCTTCAAGATACACGCTATTTACTCGTAGCTCATTTGAAATTCTTATGATAATAAGATAAGCTAATCTTTGACCCAAATACCATTCCAAAGGTTAAAGAGAACATATATATGAGATGGAAATATATCTTGTCAAAAATGAATGCAGTACACACAATGATATTAACTGTCGATTGATTGTTCAAGGCCATTGAGAATATGGATACCTAAATACCTGAAATGGGCTTGATATGTTCAGTCTCTTCAGAAGATCAAGTAGGAGGTACATTTCTAGAAGTTTTCCCACGCAAAGCGCTATGTCATTGAGAATCCACATGATGCCATTGTTATATGACTCTGCTGAAGCTCCAAGCATGGTAATGGTCGACGTGAACGTTGCAATCAACGACATCGCGACGGGGAAGAAGGTCATTGAGCGTCCAGCCAGCAGGTACTCATCCAGTTTACCATGTCGGCCGACTATGGCGTGGTATATACCGATGCTCACTGAGGCGGCGACCATGACGCCAAACACTGCGTAGTCCCATTTCCCAAACGTGTGAGACTCCATCGAAGCTGTGAACAAATTATTCGTACAGACGCAGCAATAGGACGAAAACATATGTATTCCCACACCCGAATTAATAAAGACGTTTTGCAGGTTATACATTCTCCAGACAAGGGAACTGATGATAAAGTTAAGGATGATGCACTCTATAGGACACCTAACTACGGTACCAAGAAAATGAGTATTGTTCAAGAAAGTAATAGGAAGTAAATAATGAAGCTTTGTCGCGACAACCGCAAACTTGGGCATTTAGGTTATTAACACACTCGAGAACGCACATTCTTTGAGGACATCTCATTTATAACATTTTCTCTTGCTTAATATACCCACAGTTTTGATTTAGTACATATCACTTTCTTCGATTCCGAAATAGGGGAAGCAATCAACGCTGACATTTCTAGACTATTGAGAACCAGGCATTTCCACTGTTCATTCACGACACTATTGTTAGTGTCTCCAGAAGTGATTTCGAGGTACAGGGTTGAAACTGATGACATACAGTGCATTTGAAATTTCTGTCAACCCAAAGTACAATGTGTTTGAATTACATGTAGAAGTGATACACATAAAGGTGAAGATTTATGGATGTCAAATTCTGTAATATGACGTTTCGGAGTATATTCTTCCTTCATCAGGCGATCCTAGATGCAATGCACAAGAATATGATATGCAATTCATCTGGCAGTTGCAGCCCTGTCCAGGTGGACTCAAACAATACAGGTAAACCGTCTTACCTTTCTGCTTGTTCTAAGGTGCAGTGGTTTCAGTGGTTCAACGTGTGAATTCTGTGACAAATCTGGATGTGCAATGGAATCCGACAATACATTATACTGTCATGTCACACAAGCAGCAGAGAAATAAATATACTGTATTATGACATGATACTATAATATAAATGAGTGTACCCAGGTCTTCGGTGTGACGAGCGAACGCTTTAACCACTAGGCTACCCCACCGCCCCTAATATAAATGAGGTATAATTAGGGCTCTGTATACCCTGCAGCATATTCAGTCCTCACAGAATATCTGTCGAGAGCACAGAACGTTATATGACTTGACCTGTGGTCTGGAAAATGTTTTGTCCACCGATGCACGATATATATAAGATAAGATATATAAATGCGTCGATCTGTAAGGTAGCCTGAAAGAAAAAAGTTTATGTACTTTTAAAAGTGAAGTGGATTTTTCTATAAACATAGTTTTTCAATAAAACCATTGATATTTATGAACAAACACTAAAGCACATGACCAAGAGCGTTCGTTGGGGATGCTTTCGGATGATAGTTCAGGGTGGTTAACAACGGAAGACAAAAGTCAGGTGTGAAGAGTTGATGACGACGACAGCAGCCATGTATCGTTAATCGAATAATGATCAAAATGGTTGCTGGCAATCAGGTGACAGAAAGCACACCGGGACCGAGCGTAGTCGTTGGTGGGGCCGACGTCACGAGTAGCCGCACAATCCGCCCGCTTCTGTCAATGATCTGGGCCCGTCTTTACGTAGACCGTCTTTACGACTGATCATGTCAGTCAGGTTTTATACATAGGACATTACGACACGTGCAAGGTCGCTGAACTATGCACATGTGCATACGTAAGATCCGCGGAGGTGTTAATTGACATTTACTGATAGCAGTGACAGGGAACATTCTACAGACGAACACTGGGCTGCTCCCTGTAAGGTTCATTCAGGATTTCACACTTCTGTTTTATCCAGCTCTCCCAACAGGCGTTAACCCCACCGAACACTTGTTGGATCATTCGGGTGTTAGATCAGATTGCCTCCTCTCCCAACAGGCGTTAACCCCACCGAACACTTGTTGGATCATTCGGGTGTTAGATCAGATTGCTCTCCCAACAGGCTCTCCCAACGCAGAATCAACATCAATGCCTGCGTTAACCCCAAGCCATATCTCGGGGAAAAAGTGTCCTCTCCCAACAGAGAACCCATAATGCCTAATGGCGTCGTCAAGCGGCAGACGACACGGTTGCGACTAAATGCAATGGTGTATTTGACGGTCTTGATGTTTTACAGGCCACTCATCCTAATACAGGGATACTGCTGTGCGGTGTTGGGAGAGAAACAAATCTTACCCATCAAGCAAGACGTGCTTACCCTTATCGCAAACACCTTGTAATGTTCACAATGTTTTCTTTTTTTACGCTGACTGGGATCTGTTTGGGAAGACAATCCAAACTGATTGTTTTCAAGCGTTGACTATCAGATGAACAAATACAACATTAATTTACTAAACCATTTAATTGAGATGCCAGCAAATGGAGACAATTCAATCTTCACATCAGGATATCTACATTGGACAGACGTTAGTTATCATATGGAACCCTTCCAATCCCAACCCAGATGAGATGTGTGATTTAGGCGAACTTGCTGTAGATTTTACAACAGCTCAACATATGCCTTACAGGTGGAATATCAATGTCGGTGAGTAGGTGGGAAATAGTTTCAGATTAAACCTCGATTTGAAAGTTCTGTAGAGGTATACACGATTGTATTTCAGTATTGACATGATCTTTTACATGTTATTTGTGCAAAAACACACGCAAAGGTTTTGGATGGTATTGCCTGGTCGTCCATGACCATATTTGAAAAGCGTGGTTATCATTTTAAATTCTGTTGAAGTAAACTATGGGTCAAAGATTCATACTTATCTTGCTCCAACTGTCTTTGAGAAAAGAGAAATGTGATGTTAGTGGAAGCTTTCATCTCCGACGGATGCAGTCAATCGTTCTTGTCGGTACATTTTACACATGACATTCATGTATGGAATACCAAGAGCCCTCGATAAATATGAGACGTGGTAACTGTTCAGTATTCCCTGTGCATCCATGAATTATAGTCGCTATAAGCTAAGCAATGAAATACCTTGTGAGACGAAGTATTTATTGGATGGTTTTGTACTGCAGCTGCATATTTTGTGGCGGTGCCAGTGGTGAGGTAGAACACGCTAACCAGTCGCGAACAGCTGATATCATCATAGTTTCCAGGCCAACACACGGAGCACATGACCAGGTGAGCACATATATATTGATGGAAACCAGTGTGACATGCATGTGGTCAGGGAAACACATGGCCAGGTGAGCACATATATACGGACGGAGCACGTGGGCAGAGAAGCACATGGCCAGGTGAGCACATATACTGATGATGGAAACCAATGTAGCATGCACGTGGGCAGAGAAGCACATGGCCAGGTGAGCACATATACTGATGGAAACCAGTGTGACATGCATGTGGTCAGGGAAACACATGACCAGGTGAGCACATATACTGATGGAAACCAATGTACCATGCATGTGGTCAGGGAAACACATGGCCAGGTGAGTACATGTATACTGACGGAGCACGTGGGCAGAGAAGCACATGACCAGGTGAGCACATATACTGATCGAAACCAGTGTAGCATGCACTTGGGCAGGGACGCACATACATTTATGTACGGAGAAAAACACACGGACAAGTAAGCACACATATACTACAGAAACGCCACAAAACATGCACATGCAAGGATATATATTGTGTGAAACTGGACAAGTAGGACCATAATACTGAGGGACAGTTGTATGTACATGTTCAGGTGAACACTTAGGGGAATCCAACACAAGGCATACATAGACACTTGAGTATGTTAATTCTATATTTATGGGTATTTATGGTACCCGAATTGTCTCTGTTTGAACAGCTGAATATGACTCCGCGAAATATTTTGAGCATGAGATCTGCACAGAATTTCCAGATTAAAACATAAAATATCCACGTACACTCTATAACAAACCTGTTTGAGTTAACATTTGTTTTGCATCCAAGTTAAATGAAGAGGCCGTATTTAACCTATGTTATGGACAATGATGTATAAAGACCTGTCAACCTCCAAATGTATGATGACATGAATAAATTATCACTAGGACATTTTTGACAAAATAGATTTGTTTGCGTTTGTGAGTCATATTCAGGTACACAAGGATGTATATCACTGAACGAGTCGTCTTTCATCGTAACTCCGCCTTCAGCTCTGTGTCCTCTCTGGTCCTAGTTAATTTTTACTATGGTGTCATATGACGAACAGAGGGAGAAAAAATCTCTCAGTTCTGTTAGTCAATCAGTGTTAGAAACAGTCACACATTTGCCCACTGTGTTACCAATGTATTGGCTGTACACCGCGCCACTGTGCTGATGTTTAGCATGTAGTATTACGAAGCATCCTTACATGTTTATGGTTACTCATTTCCATCATAAGAAGGGATAAATATTTCAGTGTCAAAACAATTAAGGAGTTTTATAGCATTTATTATTATTTAATCATAAATACTATTTCTTTTTTAAAAGAAATAGAATTGTCAGAAAATGTTTGAATAATATGTTTTGCAAATAGATCAATGGCATTATAAAATTGGTAGATTAAATTTGTAACTGCGATTGTCAGTGACTATATCCTCAAAGTATTGAAAAGTAAATTATTGTAAAATTATTGTCCTCCTGAGAGGGTAGGTAAGTCCCAAAATCTTCAAAGTAAATTTAATCTTTCCGCTCATTTTAATCGTAGAATATGTGTCATTTTAACATATGGTTAGATTTGTCTGAATTGCTAACAGCAGGGATGGTGTAAATCCAGCTAGGGTCCAGGCAAGAAGCAAATGCACTGTTAGTCCGCATGGTTTCTAGTATGGCGATGTACCTTCAGTTGGTGACAATCTGTAGCCTGTTTTTTATGTTGTATTTTCCCCATCGTTTTATGATAACATGCTAGTTTTACATTGGTATCTGTGATACATCAGTAGCCTTACTGTTCTTCGTCAGCAGGCTTTTAATTTCTATGTTACTGATCTATAATATGATAATCAATAGTTCTCGTATATAGAGATTACTAAACGAGTGTCTGTCAGATACCATTTATCTTACAACGAGTTGTTTCAAAACGTATTTAACGAGCGAAAGCGAGTTAAATACGTTTTGAAACAACGAGTTGTAAGATAAATGGTATCTGACAGA